AATTATCTAAGGATGGAACATTTTTTTTAATTTGATGCAAAGCGCTTTCATAGTGTGATTTCCACTATCCTCACGAAGTTTGATATTGCAACTATGTTGGTCATCAATAGGAGAAAATGTGGCATATTCTGGTTTAGCAAAAATCCTCCTCCAAGCTGGCTGTCCTCTTTTGTAAGCATGATTGCACCTTCTGAGACTTTTTCAAAATTGCTAGATACACAATTTTTTGTTTCAACACGGCAAATGTGGATACGTTCTTGGTCGATATGATCAAAGTCCAACTTGAATATTGGTCTTGGGTTCATGTCTCACTTAGAATCCATTTTATGGTGATCAATTCTGTTCATTTTTCAATGCTCTGGTACTTTTTTAGCATTTGGTACGGATCAACAGTAATTCTACATTGGTGCATCATTCCAACTCAATCTATTAATACACATTTTTTTTGCAAGTACTTGTGTTTGCTGAAATGACTATTGCGCAACTAAAAGCATTAGAAGAAAGGGCATAATTGATCAGAAAAAGTCACTCACGACACTTATGGAAAAATTGATGATCAAGGCCCTCGTCCTTGTTTCTATGATATCATTTGATTGGTCTCAGGTCACATGGATCAAGTTTTTGGCCACGTATTTTGCAATGGGCCATCTTGGTCAAATTTGTAGCACCCCAAGGCTACACTCTGTGGAACAAACCTATATAAACCTAGCTATTATTTAACCCACAGCTAGATGCCAAACCTCATGTGACATTTGAGGACATCCAGAACACTCAATTTTGATGGATTACGCATTTCCTTAGCAATAACTTTTGTTTTTGCCTACTTTGAGCTCACCAATTGACAGACAAAATATTACAGTGTCTCCGTGATTTTTGGCTAACTAAAACCATGCAATTACTGTCATTGCAAAAGTTATAACTCCGATATGTTTTGCAAGAACCTGAAAAACATCAAATAGTCTTGTTTCACTCCAAGACACTTGAGAAGTGGAAGATCATTGATCACCTCACACAAAACCAATTGATGCAAGTAGAATGACTTGGGATCTATGCTGACAAGGCTATGGATGATTCTTTGGTCCTGTTTTAGACGTCTTTAGATTTTTGACCAAAAGAGGTTGCAAGATCACTGGAGCATTTTGATCCACAGAGCTCACACTACCTTCATGATGGCTCTCAGTTCCAGTAGCTGATATCTCTCCATCAACCTTCATTGAATTCAAGTCTATATAGAGATTGTTTTGCTTGCACTCGTGTCATTTTAATGGATCGGCTGGCCACAACTCAAAGTAATTTATAACTTAATTTTTTGACATCTATTGCTCGTCTTACTTTTAATCCAGTCGTCCTCGGAACCTGGAGTCTCCGATGGCCACAACATAGAGTAATATCCTGCTTAAGTATTTGACAACCATTGCTCGTCTTACTTTTGATCTAGGCAATTGCACCTGGAGTCTCGATGTGTAATTTTATGCCTACACGGCTAGCCATGGCTGCTATTGGCATCATCCACGACAACATTTAGATTGCATATTAGTGTGAAGTGGACAGGGCTGGTGCTTGTGAACTTCTTCTCCAATTGGACCAAGGTCTGATCTCCGGCTGACCCTGCAAGGAAGTGGCAATCATGTAGAGCTTCTATCATTGTGTAATAGTCGTCAACCATCATGGCGACATGTTGCTCATTTGAAAATCTCTAAAAATTGTAGCTGCTGCAAGCGAGGAGTCCCCGAATCATTGATCTAGGGTTTTTTACTGTTAGGCGTCTCAGACGCTTGGACTTTGCTGTCACAAATCTTTACCGTCTTCTTGATATGTTAGTGAACACAATGCCTTGGACTCCATTGACATGACAACAATGACTTCTTGGGGGCAGAGCTGACCACTACTCTCAAGCATGGTACCAATACCTACTAGCTCATGCACGGTTCAATCATGTGGGTTATACTGGTTAAGACGTGTGCATCTTAAAGGACACCCAATGGTCCATTGCTCAACTAGAGCGGTGTGTTGTGGGATGCGACGGTAGACCTGGCTATAACGGCATGGTTGCACATTCAGAAGAGAAGTTGCATGTTCGCTGGAGAAACAACAACCAGTTGCGACTAGTAAGGCAGGCAGAAAGTTCACGAGCCAGTGGTTTTGGAATGAGACTATTTGTAGGTTTCAATGTGAGATGGTTGTACACACATCCTATTAGAGGTATTTCATCTAGGTTGTTTTGGTTGGTTTTATCAAGTAGTTAAAAACTTAGCCACAAAGGTTCGCCTTTCTCAGTTCTGGGCGGTGTGTATTTTGCTCTTCTTGCAGTGGAATTTTCACGATTTCACTCAAAATAAAAAAAATAAAAAAAATCTTCCAGAGCAAGAATCTGCGAAACCAAGAAGATACGAGGTAATATTATCAAAACTTCAAAGCAATCGGAATCTTCAAGCCAATGAAGTATCCTCTTCTGATTCACCGATCACAAAGTCTACGGACGTAGAATTGGGAAAAGCGGATGCTACAGATATCGGGAGATGCCGTTTCTCGGTTCCAAGAATATATTCATATATGGAAAAAAAGCCCTCTGGGTTGCTTCCGTGTCAGACTAACAGGCATCTTCCCATCCTTCCTGGAAATTCTGTGGCGCTTTTGTTTCAAGAAACACCGGAAAGCGAAAGCCCAGACCAGGATTAGTCGACGAAGGGGTGCGAAATGAGAACGGGTAACAAAGCACTTGAAACTGGAACAAAATAACTTCCCTATCGTAGGGCGTGACATTGATATAGATTAGGAGTTTGAAGAAAAGATCAAAGAAAAGGAAAAGAATCATGACGAGCATGTGACCTCCACGAACACCGTGCCTGCGCTTCCTTGCATCGATCGGGAAAAGGAGAGACTTAAAAAGGACAGTAAAAGTTAATGTCCGAATGAAGGAAGGAGGAGACGTCTCCACTGCCGGCGCGGTAGTGGCTGTACTGCGGATCCAAGCAAAAGTCGATCTCGTGTGAGGATCACGGTTTGACACATGTACTTGCATCGCTTTGACTGCGGTGAGATGTAAAGGGTCAGGAGATTTCGTAAGAGCATGAGTGACTCTATGCATGCCCACGTACGGATACAGACTGCGCCAGCAAATACGGTCCCTTTTACGCAGTAGCCAATTACAGGCTTGGGTCGCGGTAATGGAAAGGGGGCATGGCATAAGCTGTTCACAAATGGCGAGATTATACTGTGTTGAAGCTTTACAGCGAGCGAACGGTACAAATTTTGTGTTCAGTTCTGGTTCTATATGCAATTCAACTCGTGAATACTTGAGTGGGGGTTGTTTTCATTCGAATCTCTTACTGGAAGTGAAATAGTGGGTATGCGAATACTGAATTATAAATTTTTTCAAGTGTGTATGTTTTCATAATACTTGCTCACTCGTTTGAGATGCAATTACGAGTACGAGGTTGTGTAGAAGAGAAGAGAAACATGATGGAGTAATATCTATCTTTCTCTTTAGGCTACAACTTGGTTCATTTTTCCTCACGAGACTGCATAACCAATATATGATACATCATTTTTGTATGGTGTTTATTCCAATCAAACACCACTTTAGTCAATGTTTTCTCACACGTCCAACATGTTACATCAGATGTGTTACAGTCGCTTTGTCTTATCATGTGTATCTTTACTTCTTTTAAAAGTAAAGAAAGATACACATGAAAAGTACATACAAGGATTATGATTAGAGAACTGGAGATGTGCATTCGAGCTGGTTGAGCAAATCAACTTTTGACATTTTCAGTATCATATTACTACCATCAACATCTTAGTTAATTTGATATAGCAGTAAGGTTTTGAGAAAGGTCAAAGGTTACGTTTTATCATTATGAGCTTATTTTATAGGTTTGGTTCAATATCATACTTATGTAATTGGTTGTCTTGGGCTGTTGCCTACCGTTTGATCAGTTGGCATGAAAGAGTTATCATGATAGTTGTCTCTCTTACTTTCACAATCATGTATGTGTTACATTAAAAAGAGCAACAGATCTGATGACTCTCATTATTACTAGGTCTCATGTACACTATAACAAGGATGCTTGCTTGTGAATTTTGACTTCACCATGCGTAAGGAAATTTTAGACTTGCTTCATTTACCTTTCCTACAACTACGAGGTTTTGGCTTATACCACCTCCTTGGATCTTCATTATTCACATGTGATTTTGGATCGACTCTTGTTCTTATAGTATTTCAGAAGATTTGTCGCCCATTTCAAGGATATAATATGCTATCTGTCATGTCATTGTGGACGTGGTTTGTGTTAGACATGAAAGTGTGGATACATTATGAGGTGAAAGCCTTCGTATGACTTGTAATCGTATCAGGTTCAGAGGAAGCCATTGCTACCTCTGAAAGACTAGATAAATGTAGCAGGTGTTATGATTTCAATGCTGCATGTGATAATTTTCTTTGGAGGAGGCGATTACCATTACTTCTGTGCGAGAGTCAATGGAGCGACAACAACTAAAGATGATGAACATGCAAAATGTCACTCGATGCTCTCTCTAACATTAGAACCGGATGGAATTGTGCGAAGAATTCGACCCTTCTCTGGTAGGTCGGCTGACCAGAAAACGCAATTCATAAGTTTAACGAGTAACAGCATGCCATCAAGTTAGAGAATCATATCATTCTCCTTTCTTTATTGTTCGCATTTGCTTGACAGTAGATCCGTTGGTACATTTCTAATACTCGTTGTTAGTCGATGGGAAATCCATTTCTCGATTTGTGCGTGTCATCCTTGCGCAGGGGCCACGCTAATTTTCTGGGACATCCGATAAAATTGGGGACTGGGGTCCACTTTAGTTACGGGCCGTCGAAGACTTCCGTCGGATGGAAGGGGAGGGCGTTGCGTGACTCACACCGGATGCGACAAGTCATACGAAGGAGAGCGGAGGAGGCGGAGGCGGAGGACGACGTGGCGGCCCTTTTTCCACTCAGGGGCAAGTCCACAATGCTCCGGACTGACCACGGACTGCAAACTGATCTCGCTCTCGAGCTCCCGCACATTTCTGCTGTTGTGGTCTTGACACCTCGGGACCGGCGGATTTATCCACTCCCCAGTGCCCAGCCTTCGCTTCCTCCGTTATCGCCCCGTTTCGCCCTTCTCTCCATTCGCATTCGCATTCGCGCTTGCTTGCTTGTGGCGGCATTGCCGTCTGGGCATGGGACTATTATCCCTCACCTGCCACTGCTGCATTGGGGACTTGCAGCTTCGGTCGGAACTGCAGTTGCGCAGTGGTTTTCAAGAATTGGCTGACATTGGGGCCGGGACGGTGATGAGGACGGGATTTGGATTGGGTTTTGGCTTGAATTTCGGAACAGCTCGAGAAGCGCGGATTGCTGTCGAGAAACTGAAAGAATTCAAGCGCAGGGCTGCTGCAGGAACTTTTCCAGGAGAATTTGCCGCGTCGTCTCGGTCTCGGATAAGTTCGGGACTGGGAATTGGTGCAGCTGAACCTGAATTTTTGCTGTAATACACCTTCCGATATTTAGTTTTATCCACCGCACGTTGGATTCTGAATTGAATTGGAGAAATCGGGGGAAGCTAGAAGCCTTTTGCGTGGCTGGGTTGTAGTGGAGTGGAGAATCTACACATCATGGGGTTCGCTTCTGTGTGTTGCCCTCCCTCGGTGCCGTATTTCCGCCATGAAATAGCCAAAGGAACTTGTACCCCTCTATTTCTCCACAGGCGCTCTGTGAATTCAACATCTGTGGCTCACAGGTACTGACATTTTCTTTCCATTCATCCCAGGCATTTTTCGGTTTGAAGTATATGCGCAAATGTAATCTCTTCTTTGAATCTTGCTTCTAGCAACCCTTTCCAGCCGACAAGAAAGTTAGACGCCGGTGTCATATTCAGTCCACATTCGGAGTAATCTTTAGCAATTTAGAAGTTCATTTAGGCGGCCCTGATCATAGATCTTAAGTTGTATGTTGTACATCCCAAGGATTAGAATGCAGTATTTACATGGGATCACATCACGTCATGTCTACCTGGGTCTGTCTCCACAGAGCAATGCAACTTTCTTACGTTCATTGGATGTGGCATTGGTGTCGAGTTGAAGTCCATTTAAAGTTCAGCCTTGGGCCATCGGGCTCCAAGGATTTGATTTTCAGAAATTTAAGCCCATAACTAATCTCAAAGGTTGAGATAGTCCACTTTTACGTTCAGAGGGTGTTGACTGAAGAGTGTAGCCGAGCGTACAACTCTGTCCTAAACGTTGTTGTCAATGTTTTTGTCACCTCGCTACAATTCCAGCCTTCGCGAAGAGGGTCATAGTTCTGCACGATAATTAGCTTCTCTGTTGCCGACTGATGACTGTTGAATAGAGGTTCTCTAATACTAACGCAACTATGCGGAAGTTGATGTCCTAATCAAGGTTTATAACTATTCAGAGCTCACAGCAAATTAGTCATATAAGCATGTCATAAACGGAAGTAACTGATTATGTTGTTCAAGTGCACAAGCTCATCCAAAAGGCTGTGATTATCAACAAGGGAGATCATCTTTTGTATTCCACGCATTTTTTGGGGCCGGAGAACGAATGGAATTGTCACATCATGTTTCTCTTCGAGTTCTGCTATCGTTCTAATGTTCTGGGCATCTCACCTACGGATATCATTGCTTTGAGGTTTGGCAGACCACGATCTCCAGCGTAATTCGAACGGTCCTCAAAGGACCAAGTGTCTGGAATGAAATATTTACAGTTTCTCTTTAGGTGGCACTCAAGTGTGTAGTTGGATTGTGGGTGGATGTGCAAGGTATTGGCGTCTCAAAAATTCCTCCCTTACTACTAAGAGCTTTTTGCAACCCTCTGGTAACGAGAATCACCATACTACAAATGAGGAAGCAAACTCCCAGGATTCTCACTCTGTATCGAAGATCCATGGAATGTCAGCAGTATTGACTGCTGATTATCTACCTTTACAAGATACTGAGGGACCAGATGATCTTGTTTATACTGAGGCAGGAATGCCTGCTTTTCAGGTGAATCTCGTGTTTTTTAACGTTTAAGACTTCCCTTAAGCTTCTTCGTTTTCGACATAAGTTTCTGACGTTCTCGCCTTGGCAGGTTTTGTCTCCAACTCAACAGGAACTTCTTTCTGCAACGCCTGCACATCCGGAAGCTCTCAACGGTAACTCTATCAACTTCAATGTTCCTATTTCGTCTAAGGGTTCGGACCCTCTCGCTGTCGAAATTTTGCTGTGCCCCATGTAACTACTCTAAATATTGCAGCTTTCACTGTTTTAATAATTTCAAACGATTGATCACATCACTTGTTCATACTCGTCCTTGTGTTGGTTGGTCGGATTACAGCTTTGTACGGTACCTACACCGCTGCGTGCTTTATGGAGAGGGTATGGCGGTTTATCGCCCCCATGGTGCTCGCCATGCTGTCGAAGAGTCTCATGCCCGTGGCTGTGGTCGGCTTTGTAGACCAGGTAGTTGCCTCGCTGTTTTTTGCTTCCCTGATTGCGTTCGACTTTGCTGTGTATGGGGTAAGGCTTGTGCGTGTTGGTGGAAGTGGAGATGCTTCTTTTGTACTCAGTTTAAGTTTTTTTTTTATTGTGAGCTAACTGCATCTTTCATACGAATCGAACTGTTCCTGATTGAGAATTTATGTTATCGTACCATCCTTGGAGTCTTGCGAAATATCATTACAATGCGATCACCATATTTCTCGACTAATTCGTGCATAACGTATGTGCTCGTTTTGGGCAGTTTATCATTTTTGTAGCCGGACCATGGGTCGGAGCCGTCATGGATACCATGCCAAGAGTTAAAAGTTTTATGACACTAAGTGTGATTCAGGTAAGTCTCGCATTCTTCTTACCGTGATCTGTCAGAACGTCTCGATTCTCGAACATGGTTTTCAGGTCCAAAGTTGTCATTTCAAGATTGTTATACAGTCACTGCGTTTGATACTTGTCTACACTCCCACACGAAACGATTCGCAGACGGTGGCCATGCTTGTGTCAGTTGGTGCTACCATGTACGCGCTCAAGACTGGATTCGGAACTCTTGCTACTACCAGCCAGTCATTACTAGCTCAGCCATGGTTCCTGGTTCTCGTGGTAGCTGGAGCAATTGAACGGTTGACGGGCCTCGCAATAGGTGTGGCGGCAGAGAGAGACTGGGTCGTACTGGTGAGCGTCTCGTCTCTTACGTAAAGTGAGCTGTCTTCTGTCTGGTTGGTGTGGATCGTTGAAACAAATTGTATGAGAGATTAGGTGTCATGAAAAATCCAATCTGTGTGAGGCGCCTCAACTCGCAGATATGACTCATCTCTATATACTTCCTCACGAATGTTACGCAGCTAGCTGGTACTACACGACAAATTGCTCTTGCTGAAGCAAACGCAGTCCTTCGGAGAATTGACCTGATATGTGAGGTGAGTGAGAAAATAAATGGGATTTCTGTTCATGTATTTTGTGTTGATATAATGGTTTGCCATTGATCCGTTTTCTGAAGAGCTGTGTGAATACTGTGTCTGAACAGATTGCTGGGCCCACTTTGTTCGGCGTTTTACTGTCAAGTCATGGTGCTCCGTTGTGCATAACTGTTGCCGCCGGGATAATGGCAGTGACATTACCAGCTCTGGTAACGGTTAACATTCAAGACTTTGTGCTAAACGGTGCTCTGTGATGGTTTTTGCTCATGTATCCTCATGTATCGTCGGATTTCAGCAGCATGTCTGAGCAAATTGCATTCTTTTGTGTCTATAGATAATGTTGGTCCATACGACGGACAAGCTTTCGAAGGGAGTCCTGCATCGATCGAAGTTCCAATTAGTGAGAGATCCAAGTAAACCACATCAAACTTCGGCCGTGCAAGCTGGTCTAGGCAACAGTAGCTGTAAGTTTCCGAACAACGAAAGTTATCCCCTTGAAGTTGTTCCTTGCCAATTGTTGTCGAATATTCTTTAATAACTGGCCTGATTGTCTAACTCTGAATCAGCAGGTGGAGTGAATGCGGTCCTGCTGGGATGGAAAAACTATTTTGCGCAACCTGTTCTACCAGCAAGTTTGGCGTATGTCATGCTGTATTTCAATGCTGTCCTTTCACCTGGAGGCTTGATGACCTCTTTCTTGACTCAATCCGGTAAACTGTCCAATATTACTGAACTGCACGCTGTTCATCTCCAGACAGTCACAGAATGGTCTGTACTAACCTTCGCGGTTGTTTGCAGAAATCAACCCAGCAATGATCGGAGTGTTCAGATCTCTGTGTGGCGTAATGGGATTTCTAGCCACTTTTGTATCTGCCAGTGTGATAAGTAAATTAGGGGTTCTCAAGGTTAGTAACATTATGCCTCTTTGAACTTCATAATGGTGCGGGGAGACATGTCAGTAGACATTGGCGGAAACTGATGTTGATTACGTGTCAAGTACGGGACAGGAGTGTTAAGGCCATGACACGTAGAGCATACTGCAGTTGCCTGAAATGTAGTCTGAAGATGAATTTTCCTCGCCCTGTTACATGCTAAGTTAGACTTTCTTCTGTGTGTACAGGCTGGAGCCGCGGCGCTCTTTTTCCAGGCATCCTTGCTAGCTGTGGCAGTCGCTGTGTATTTGACCAAAGCTTCAGGTTCAAAAGTTTCATTGATGATATTTCTCTCTCTTATTGTAAGTGGATCCTGGCCATTTGAGTGGCCCGCTGAAAGTTTAGAGTGAACGCTCATGCAGTTACTGATTTACCTACTGCTTATTATAGTTACAGATTCCCACTGGTATGAAAGTTGTCTGTAGCTGTGAAACCATATTATCTAGACCGAATGAATGTAGTCAAAAGTGTGCCAGAGCGGGCTAAGACTACTACTGATTGTGGTTTTCCTACACTGTTTGGCAAATGCAGGTTGTATCAAGGTTAGGTCATTGGGGCTATGATTTAGTGGATGCACAAATCTTTCAAACTGCTATTCCAGAGTCTCAAGCGAACCAAGTGGGCACTGCGGAGATGTCACTCGCCAGCCTAGCCGAGTTGATAATGCTCGGTGTAGCGATTTTAGCGAGTGATGTTTCTTATTTCGGAGGGTTAGCAACGTTGTCAATGATTTCTACCGCTTCTGCAGCGGCAATCTATTGGCATTGGTTGTCAAATCCGACGGCGGATCAAATACGGCTTTTCCCTGAAGACACGAGGATAAAAGTGCCTACATTCACTCCGATGAGCACTTGAAGACGGTCGGGCGAGCTCTCTATGCACCCGAAGGTTTCACAGTTGTAATATTCTTCAGGAATTTAGGCACCACATTTTTAAAAGAACCTAGAGAGTGACCTGAAGGAGGTCACATGTAAATACCACAAACGTCATTTCACCCATTCTTTCCAGTTAGCTAGAATGTAGACTACTCGATTGAGACTGAAGACAATGGCGAGATTAGCAGCTGTCTGGAGCTGTGAAATCTCCCAAAGGAGGTAGTGATCCTTTGTAAAATGGCTGGTGGTTTCGGAAGTCCGAAAGTTCCGATATACCAAAATTGTGCATGTTTTCTCGATGTGCCCTGGTAATCAGCACAGGGACCTTGAAGTCTGTTACTTGATGTTGCCAAAACATTAAGTAGTGTATCGATTAGGATTGTATTACGAAGATAACGCGAACAGCGATTTACACTCTGAACAAAATGCCAGCTTCACCAGCGTCAATGTTCTCCTCCTGTCTGGAGCATTTTGTCGTGGAGTGGTGAACGTGATAAAAGTTTGCGCGTATCATATCTCATAATGTGGTAAATGTGATTAACGTTTGCACTCATAAAATTTTATAATCTTAACATAGATCTCCATGAGAAGAATCATGTAGAAATTTAACCACCGCAGAATTTGGCTGTAAACTAAACTCAACTTACTATAAACTTCCTTGAGAGATTGTACTTAGAAATTTATCTATCGGACAATGAACCTGAAACCAGGGATTTGGTCACACACTAAATCTCATAACTGTAACATAACTTTTCTTGAAAGAGATCATTTAGATTGTAACCATCGGATAATGAAACCGAAACCAGAAATTTAGCCGTGATCTTGGCTTGAGTATTTGTATGGATTACTTAGTATCTAACCGTCACTTCCATTGCATACTCACGCCAAAACTAGTTTCGATGTGAGTATACTATGGTAGTGAACGTTTGTAAGTTGTGAAGACTTGTAAGCTCTTTTGTTGAATAAACAACTATATTGTGGAAACTAGAGATGTAGTCTCGATCTCTAGTTTCAAAGTAAGTATTCCATGATAGTGAAGATTAAATCACTAACGTTTGAACGTTGTTAAAAACACAAAGAGTTGTCTATGTTAACTTTTCATACTTTACAGAAATAAATTATGAATAAAAGAAGAGAACTTTGACAGTTATATCGTCGAACGTTAGGGAATTATACTATACTATCACAGAATAGTGGCATCGAAAGTAAAGATTTATTCTCGATCCTTAGTTTCAGTGTAGCTATTCTATGACAGTGAAGATTAAATCACTAACGTCTGGACGTTGTTAAAAAGGCGAAGAGTTGTCATACTTTACAGAAAAAAAACATGGACAAATAAAGAGAACTTTGACAATTATATCGTCGAACGTTAGGGATTTATACTATACTATCACAGAATAGAGGCATCGAAACTAAAGATGTAGTCTCCATCCTTAGTTTCAACGTAACTATTCCATGATAGTGAAGATTAAATCATTAACGTTTGAACGTTGTTAAACATACGAAGAATTGTTGATGTTACTTTTCATACTTTACAGAAATAAAACATGGACAAATAAAGAGAACTTTGACAATTATATCGTCGAACGTTAGGGAATTATACTATACTATCACAGAATAGAGGCATCGAAACTAAAGATGTAGTCTCCATCCTTAGTTTCAACGTAACTATTCCATGATAGTGAAGATTAAATCATTAACGTTTGAACGTTGTTAAACATACGAAGAATTGTTGATGTTACTTTTCATACTTTACAGAAATAAAACATGGACAAATAAAGAGAACTTTGACAATTATATCGTCGAACGTTAGGGATTTATACTATACTATCACAGAATAGAGGCATCGAAACTAAAGATGTAGTCTCCATCCTTAGTTTCAACGTAACTATTCCATGATAGTGAAGATTAAATCATTAACGTTTGAACGTTGTTAAACATACGAAGAATTGTTGATGTTACTTTTCATACTTTACAGAAATAAAACATGGACAAATAAAGAGAACTTTGACAATTATATCGTCGAACGTTAGGGATTTATACTATACTATCACAGAATAGAGGCATCGAAACTAAAGATGTAGTCTCCATCCTTAGTTTCAACGTAACTATTCCATGATAGTGAAGATTAAATCATTAACGTTTGAACGTTGTTAAACATACGAAGAATTGTTGATGTTACTTTTCATACTTTACAGAAATAAAACATGGACAAATAAAGAGAACTTTGACAATTATATCGTCGAACGTTAGGGAATTATACTATACTATCACAGAATAGTGGCATCGAAAGTAAAGATTTATTCTCGATCCTTAGTTTCAGTGTAACTATTCTATGAGAGTGAAGATTAAATCACTAACGTCTGGACTTTGTTAAAAAGGCGAAGAGTTGTCATACTTTACAGAAATAAAATATGCACAAGTGAAGAGAAGTTACCAATGAAAAATCAGAAGCAGAGTTCCTGTAATGCCGAAACGGGATTAGTGGCTAGAACCGAGGAAGAATAAAGAAACAGAAGAAGGATGCATACGAATACAGGTGAAGTGGGAGACGTTGAGCGACGAACAAGAACGGATCCCGAGCCGAAGGTGTGCGCGGGGCACCGTACGAGCCATTCTGGCGTACATCGGACTTCACGCGGACTGCGGAGGAATATATAGATGGCAAAGGCGGAGGCGGGCTCGTGCGCGCAGTGAGTGCAGCACGAAGAAAATGTCAAAAGCGATAAATGGTGCGGGGGGGCGGTCAGCCGATGCGTCGAAGCTCGGCCGGGGCTCGCGAGGCTCGGCCAGGCTGGACGAGGGGCACCGAATTGGGGCCTGCCAAGAGGCCGGAGGAGGCCTGAAAAATCCCAGCGCCACCCCGCCCGCCACTCGTGCACATGAGCAGTAGGAGTGGCAAATACTCAAGCCTTCATGTGATTGCTATATTGGTCTTGCTAAGGACCGCGGAGTCGCCCACAGAGGCCCTGGCACCAAATTGAGCCAGACTGGCGCATTCAATCAGCGCTCAGACACGTTCCCCGAGTCAGATCGTTTGTATCGATCCCGACTGTCCAATGCATGCACAGTTCTGTAACGATGAGGTCGATACCCGCACCTGTTTCTAGCTTCTTGGCCATGGCTGCGATGGAGACCAAACAAACAGTTGTGCTTAGAGAAAAGCACATTCATGACAGGTCATACCCTGTCGATGGAGCCCCTACGACACTTCATTGTCGTGAATTGCAAAGCACTACCGGACGAATGGAATATACAATGAGCATCACGCCCTCGGACTGGCAGGCATCGATAGATAAATATTAGCTAGATTGAGGCGCGTATGCCATACAACAGATAGAATTGCCGCCATGGACTGAAAGTATCTATCTGTATAATCCGAAACTTATGACTGCTGTGTCGAATACGTCAATCTCACGAAAGCAACTGGGAGTCTGGGAAAATTATTCATGGTTCCCCTCCCCTCCCGTCCCCTCACCTCACTTCATAGCTCTATCGTGAGGGAGCAGGGCAGCATGGTAGGCTGGGACGTCAAGGTGTTATTTGAAACGAGTGAAGTGCTTCACAAACTAATATTATATATATATATATATATATCTCCAACCCGTCTCTGTGCCTGACAACGTCGACATCCAAGCTGCATTTCTGAAATTCAATTCCGATCATTGACTGCTTCTCAGCTGAGGCAGAAAGAGCCTGCCATCGGCAGCCAATGGCAAGGACCAGCGTAAATGTCATGTCTGTCGTCGACAGATGACGTTTCATATGATCTCTCATCAAGTAGTAGGAGTCCCGTGTAATTTAAGAAGTTTCTTCCCTTTATGAGTCGCCATCAGAAATACACTCCTTATTCACTTCTTTGAGTTCTCTCTCTGGGTCTCTCTCTCCTCCCATACACACACTCTCACACTCTCTCTCTCTCTCTCTCTCTCTCCACTCGTACAGTACTGTAGAAGGTCCCTTTCTGTAGGAAAGGATCCAAAGAAGGACGGAAAGTGAGAAAGGCACCAGAAAGGCCCTCCCTACCTTTGCGTTTACGCGCTGACTGGGCAGCAGCACTAAATATACTGTCAGAGCAAGTTGCAAGTTGCTTCTTTCGAAACTTTACGATATACGATTTAGACATGGCATGCCTTCTATCCCAGTCCAGTCATGCACGATATGGATTAACCCAGTTCATGGTCAGTCTGAACGCGGTCCAACCGAACAGAACCCAGCTGAATTCAGAATCCGCTCGAGCGATCACGATACGATACGCTAGAGTAGAGTAGAGTAGAGACTAGCGAGTGACTAGGGGAGCAGAGTAACATGCGAGGAGATGGGCAAAACTCAGCCCCACCAGACAGGCACACACAGCTAGAGGACGGACGGAATCCCAAGGGGACTTGAAACGCCTCACTTTCATCTAGCTGTCTCTATTTGCTAGGTCCACCGTCCACCGTCTTGGATGAGAACCGGAGTCCAGACATTCTAAGGCCGAGTTCAAATGCCTCGTGTTCGAGCTTCTAGCAACTGCTGGCTCGGTAACCGGCCAGCATCCTTGTGGTTGAACCTGGCATTATTCCATCCAACCTTTCCGCAATGATGACCGTGTGGGTGTCAGTTGTATCGGCAGCTCTTGGACCTCAGAGAGTGAAGTTTCCAGGCCTTGTACTGCTGAGGATGGATGGCGAATACCCAATGGTGAGAATCTCGGCTCGCAGATACGTTAGCCTTTGTTGTTAGATACATACCCTTGAGTGTGTAACCCACTGACTGCACATAAAATCTGCATCTGAACTCGTGATCACCAGGCCCTGCGGCTTGTCTTGTACGACTTGATGAGGTCCTTTTTGCTATATTACTCGGTTTTCTAATGATCAAAGATGTGACAACCAGAAGTTTCCTCCATGTCGAGGAAAACTCTGTGTGTGTATGCCCCAATTAAAGATCAATTCTTGCAGATGGTTAGAGGTGCAGGCTTCTTGTCTTTTGTAATATCTTGTAGAATAATCATTTCATAATAGCTACGATAGTGCTGTACTGTATGCAAAACGGAAAGTTGATGGCTGGCTGGGAAACTGATGTACCATAATGCTCCTCACACGCGAACATTGCGTGAGCCCAAACACCAAACCCACAGACACAGATACACATGTGCATCACAATGACAAACTATGATGCAGCATGATGGTGAAATTCGCAGAGCATCTCAAATCCTGTTGAATGAGTATCTCCACACATCAATTTTGGCTATGTTTTGAGCCAACTCATGGGGAGACCAAACGGCTTCCCAGGCCGAGCTCAAGTTACACCAAGCGTCTAGAATCAGTTTTCTTCCGGAGAACGTAATGGGACGAATGTAATGGTACCATTACATGTGCAATGTATGGCACTTTCAGCGGGAAGAATTAAATTCGAGTGAGGGAAGATTGACAAGACATGCATAGCGACTGTTGTTTCTCTGACCATTGACTGACTCCACTGCAGCTGCGAGAACAAAGGGGCCGGGTAACCGGGCTGGAAGCAGAAGGCCATGGACTCTAGATACAGGACATGATAAATGCCGAAGTGCTCGTCCTTGTGATCAAACAAGCAAGCGTAACTGTTTTATTGCCGGAGCAGGAGAGAGAAAGAGAGAGCGCGGAGGGCAACTAGAAACCACAATGATTCTATTCGGTTAGAATTCCCTTGTCACGGGCAGTGATATCAGTTCGTTTGGACTTGAATGTCATCCGCACTACACTGGATCTCACCTTACCCGAATCACAAGGGAAACGAACGATTCCCTTGAAAAGTCTTAAAAAAACATGATGACTCACCCTCATCGCCTGTCAGCGCGAGTCAGTCAGACAATCCAAAATTTTTACGCTGGAGACATGTGAACACATTTTTTTTTGTCTATGTGCTTTGAAAGATCGGAGGATCTTTCCCTCCGAACCACAGCACTCCTCAATGCACAATGCGTGCACCTCCAATGACAAAGGAACTGTCTCTCTGTCGTTACTTCCAATTCACGGGTCTACCCCATTCTCACCGAACCAACCAACTGCCCAACCCTCGAGGCCGAAGCATTGCATTTGCTTCCCATCAACCAAGGAATGCAAGTTGTGAGGCGTGAGCCGGTTCAGTACCACCGTAGAAGTACGTAGTAGGTTACGCTATCACTTCGGGTGCAGGCGGAGTGGAATTCACTTGATGGCCATGTTGGGTTTGTTGGCGCTCATGGGCAAACAGGACCCGAATCCGACCGAAATCACAACGCATGAATTGCTTCAGCCCCCAGCGTTGAAAGAATATTGCGGGTACGTTATTTAACCTACCAGTTATATCACACAGTCTGACTTGCACTCCAAGCTCAATCTCCGTGAACGAACAGGACGCTGCGATATCGGGCGCTCTCGCGCAATAATGATGAGATCGAAAGAGGGAGAAGACAGAAAGGAAGACGATGAGCAGGACTTGGGTCGACGAAGAGCCGTCCGGATCGCAAACAAACTAAAACCAAACTAAGCGTAAAGAGCGAGTCTGGCTTTCCACCGATGCGGTGGCCCTAAACACCTACCGGATCGTTAAATAAGAGAAGACGCACGAAGCGAAACAACCGCTTCAGGTCGAGCTCCGTGAAGGGTGAGGGCATCACGCTCAATGATGGCGATCCCGGAGGACGAAGGAAGTCGCAGTGCAGCCAAAAGAGTAGGTGCCCAGGAAAAGAGCGCTGCGCTTCTCTGCTGCGCTGTAGACTTTCCCGTGAAGCAAAGACGAAATCCTGGTGCCGCTTTGGGGCTCGCACGGGGCTGCCCGCTCGCTCGACGTCGCGTCATGGCTGGAGAGATTGACGAGGGCCAAAGTCCGAGCGCGATCGAGGCGCGCGGCGGAGGAGTGAGGAGCAAGGCTCCGAGGGTCCCGAGGGTCCCGAGGGTCCTTCCGCGGAACGAACCGTTGGAGGCCGAGGGGGAGGGACGAGGTGCTGGCTGTTCGTCCTTTGTAGATATCGGGTGAACATCGGACGAACGAACGTACAGCCCTCGCCATTCATTGATCGCCTTCTTCTTTTTCGGCAAATAACCAACAGAACCGGATGGCGGAGATGTCAGTACCGCAACACCGCCAACGTAGAAGCATCTTTCTTGTCGGATCGCTAACTACCACGTCATGCGTAGAACGTGAGATTTGTAACCCTTCCAGGCGCTAACAGAACTGGCCTACAGTCTTTTCGATCCAGACCTCCTCCGGCCAAACGTCCGCAAAACTTAGTCCTAGCCCTGTCGCGTAGCCCCGATCTCTCCTCTCTCTAAAAGTACATCCACGTCAAATTACGTTACAACCGCTTAATCAACAAACCGAATCTCCCCATGCAGGTTAAGTTCTCGCTTTTGCAGATACAAATTTGATGCAGATTTAAGAATGCGTGTCCTTGATGGCATGATATCCCGGGCTTGTGGTCTTTATCATCATTGGAAGGGTAGATTTTGGAGAAAGATTGCTTTCTCGAGTATGATTTCACATTGCAAATACATCAGAACGGATCGAACCAGCAAGTAAACTCAACTTCATTCATTCTAATGGCAATAGGTGGTAGCATCAATCATAAATCCTTGAATATTATTAGCTCATATTGTTCGAAATGACATAAGGTCATATCAACTATTTATCTCGCAATTATACTATGATCCTATGTTGGGCTCATTGAAGAAATTCATTATATTCCGTAAAATAAAGTCGATTTTCACATTACTTAGCTCACAAGTTTGTGTTAAAAATATTTGAGAAAAATCCTGTATCTTGAAGAGCTCATCATCACATCTGGATGGATTATTTGTATGTATGATCATTTACGCACATGAGATTTGATTGGTATATCCACATTTAACCTTTTGCATGCAAAAAATATCTTCATAGACACACTATATTTAGCTTTGAGGAGAATAGTACTAAAATATTACTCTTCAGTGATTGATATTCCTATGATGATGTCATAATTCTCTTAATTTTCTTACTCACTTATACTCGATATATTTTGGTGCCTCGAATGCCTAGTTGGAATTGCTGAACACACTGCAATGGGTGGATCATTGTGACAAGTGTACAGCAATTCATCCTGCAAAGGTTTGGAGTTAAATAAGTATGTTGATTTAATATTTATAGGAATAAGCGTATTTGTAGATTATGTGACCGTGGCTGTATTGAAAAAGAATATCATGTACTTGTGTTCCTTGTCCTAGGTAAAAATATATTAGACTTGCTCCTAATATAAAGGAGCGGTTAGTTATGTATGAGTTTAGGTTAATTATCTCTCACCTGCTTGGCCAGTTGGGTGATGAGTGGATCCATCTCAGTATAGGGGTCCCCTAAATCTGGCGTGGCTGACTGAGAAGATAAAGGCGAGGCCCAACCTTCCGACGTTTCAACTGTCGGCCCGCCTGAGCTTGCTTCTTGGCTATGGTGGAACACTCCCCGCTCGCCATGGAAGTGAAGAAGTACCGAATAACGCGGTGATGTATAATTAGCCTAGACTGAAGAACAACTAGAGCTTTGTTTGCTTTCTTTTGATTTAGATTGTTATATTAAGGACATCGTTACTTACCGTTCCAAAGCTTTTGGAACGGTAAGTATTAGGGATTGATCTTTGGAATATTTTTTATTATTTGTGATTTTTCGCTTGTATTGTATTTTTCATCATTTTGACACTTTGGGCCCAGGCTTGATCGTTTACCAAATTCCCAAAACATTCCGAAAATCAGCGAAGCAAGCGCCAACGTAGTCGACGGGCTAGGCGCTTTCCTTATTCGATTGTCGTTCCGTCTCGCACATATCAGCGATGCGGTTCCAGTGCCAACGTCGTCGAAGCTGCGGGTAAGAGTTCGATGCACGAATCAGCGGCGCCATTTTCGGGGCCGTGAGCATGCATTACCTCCGTCACAGGTACGGGTCGAGAAAAACATCGCTCTCGAGGTGGGCGCCGCGCCGGCGCGGACTAAGGACCAGCCCTCGCAGAGTTACAGGTTCCCGCAGGCGCCGACGGTGTGAGACTTGCCAAAGCCAAGTACCGAGTCGGTCGCCGCACAGCAGCTGAGCTACTGCGGTAGGTCGCGGGCCGTCCTCACTCATTACGCGGGCGTGCTTGTGGTCGTGGTCACGTTGCGCAACCGGCGTGCGTCTCAACGACTGACCGGTTATCCCAAGACTCGCGAGTAACAGCGACCGCGGCCATGCGAGACCTCGCGGGAGCGTGGTCGGAACGGCCGATTCTCCGCGGCCAGGACGCAGAAGGCGGTACGTCGCACGTCGCGCGCGGTGGCCGTCGCGCGCGGCAGGCGGTGACCGTCGATACGAGCCCGGCGGGCCTAAGGCGCGCCGAAGATGTCCGCCCCACGCAAACCCGTCCCCGGCAAAGATTTCTCGGTGTCCGATGGCTTACGGAATCCAGTAGGCCAAGATATCGACCCGGTCGCATTTCCTCGGCGCGAGTCAACGACGCTTGACTCGAAGATCGAAGCGCCCCCAGCGACTCCCAGCCGATTGGGCCCGTGCCGACGGTGCGTGGGGAGGGCACGAAAGCAACCACGCACAGTTTCCCGACTCGACAAGGCAAGTCGGCCTACGGGCGACGCCGGAGATGTAATGTCGACGGCTGAGGGCTTGGCTATGGTCGTAAGCGGAAGTCGTCCGGGGGCGACCAGCATCAATCGGCCGACGCGGGAGGGTAATACAGTACACTGTGGATCTCTACCTTCTAAGGACGTGGATGGCAAGGGCCGCGGGCCTCCGAGAAGGGCCACCGCCACTCGTCGTCGCTCGCAGATCGCCAAGTCGGACGGTCGCAGGTCCCGGCTGCGACCTGCGATTTGCTCCTGCGCAGATGCCGGGGCCCCGGTCCAATGGGACGCCACATGGGTAGCCAAAATGCCCGGCGACGGCGCCAAACGATGTCCATCATGGCGGGCGAGTCCGATGAGTGATCGGGTGTGGCGCTGAAATGGTCCATGCGGAGGGTTGCGGAGCTGGGACGTGTCAATTCCCTTGACGGTCGCGACTCATGATTGGCACTGACCTGCAGGCGAGTTCGTGGGTGGGTGAGTCAGCAGCAAGTCTAAAGACATGGCGGCAGGGCCCTGACAAGTGGACCATTGGCCCCAATCACAAGGGTCCAGACAAGAATGGATGGGATGTGGAGTGTGTGTGTGGTTGAGTGCAGTAACCATCCTAATGTGAATCGATGCGAGGGGGTAACTTGTCAATCGGGCTAAGCCAATCGATGCTAGAGCAGGAAACTCATAATCAACGTTGCCAAAACAGAGAAAGGGTCGGCCAAGTGGAGCACTAGAGTGGACTTTGTGTTGGTTGTGAAGGCCAGAGAAGACACAGATGCCTACCATAGCCTGCACAGCCTACCCGGTTGTTGAGTGAGATCTCTTCGATTCGACATCTCGTCCGCTTGATTATCTCAGCCTTTCCCGACCCGAACGAAAGCATGCCGAAGGAAGAAAGAGAGCCTTTGTTCCTCTGGTCAAAAGCATAGTCAGAGCCCTCGTCCCTTGTCATCGCCATTCGATCCACAGTACTTAAAGTGGCTTCCATGTCCTGTTTAACATGGCAGAGTTTTCAAGTTATATCCCATATCCCCCATAACAACCAATTCAATTCTGATTTTTATATGCTTCTACGTTCCCAACATAGATAGATAGGTGAGCAAGGTTCACTCCTCTCCGTGTGCACAAAAGAATGCGGAGGAATTTCGAGTAGAGATACTCAATATATATTGGGTGGAGCAATAAGGCCTGTGTAGGGCAAGGAGTGGGGTTGGTGCTCATGGTCGAGACTGTTGTCAGCGAAAGAGTGAAGGGAGGAAGAAGACCGAGCATATATTCCTCGTGGACAGTGCAAGTGACTTCTCGAAGAAGAGGAGCACAGTGGGCAAGAGCGATTTTTGTTTTTACAACAGTATTCATCTTTACTAGAGCAACCTACCACATCCTGCAGGAGTGAATGAGAGCCGAGAGCCCCATGAGAGTACCGAGTAATATAGCAAAAGAGAGTAGAGAGTAGGTGCGTAGATCCGAGATAGGGGTGCATGGGCGGAAATGTCCGGTGTCGACATTGTCTGCTGCAGCTCCGCTCAGCTGGTGATGTGCTAGCAGCTAGTGAGGCAGGGACAGGAAGGAGGGAAAGAGGGAGAGAGAGAGGAGGGGGGAGTTGATTACATGAAACGCTAACGTCTACCGGCGAAAGGAAAGATGAGGGAGGGAGGGTTTGACTGAATAATGGCTTTCTGAAAAGCAACGGTGTCCCACGTTTCAAGTCCTCGTCCCCCATCTCCATCTCTGTTGCATCGATCAAATAATCGTCGGTGCGAGCAATGTTGGCGTACAGCAGACCTTTTTGGCCCAATGCGCTGCGTCTTTCCCATCACCTCAGCAACTTTTCAAAGTCACCCACTACTGGAACTCGCGCAAGTTTAACCGCGGGGGAGAGAGGAGGCCTCACGTCGTCTCCAAATACATTGTGTGCGTATGGCCAATCATCACGATTATCAATATATCTTTAAGATATAACACTTCGCCTCGCCAGTGCTTTCCGCCTGTCCGCCTGTAGGCCGAGTCACTGTGGGGGCCGAGACAAATATTGGGATAACTTCATGGCGCTCAAGTTCGCCACCAGCACTGTTGTTGTGAACTGTGCAAGTCTTTGCACATCTGCAGAAACAGGGAGGTGCTGATTTTGGGGGAGAGGAAGAGTGCCTTATTGACCATCCCCTCTTTCCAAATGTCTGTCTGACCAGCCTGTTGAGCTACCATCTGGGGATAGACCTGGCGGAAGAGGGGGGGGGGGGGGGGGGGGCTTCGGTTCAAATGTCAAACGTTATGTATAGTAGCGCCCACTACACTGCACTGCAGCAGCACAACTTCTTCCACCTTCGTTCATTAAAATCGAGGGAGCATGGACAAAGTCAGGAATCAGCGTGACAGCATCCAGGCTCTCAGGCGGAGAAAGACCACGATGAGGTCAACCTGAGAGCAAAACGACTAGGTCATCGTGTAGCGTAGCGGGTTCCCCTACATTCGTCGTTCGTGGGAGGCGCTGATCTTTACCAGGGAAGGGCCGGGCTGTGTCACAGATATGTCGTGATCGAGAAATCTTGTTGCTCTGTATAATGTTCTCTCTCATCTTTCCACTTCAATGTCCTGCAATTCTTTTTCTCCCTCGAGCCAGAGAACTTTATATATTCTTCTCACTATTAATAGTTCGGCGGACCTCGGCCAACAAATACCTCAATGGAGCAAGGGAACACCTCCTTCACTGTCAAAGGCATGGCATCTCGCTCGGCTCCCCTCGCCTACATTAGACATTGCTCTCCGCGCCGCTATTTTTGCGTTTTGACCCCTCTTTCCGTGGACGGGAGAAAGAGGACATGCGCATGGTTATTGGGGGCACGAAGCTTCGCACTCCGACCCACCAATGAGGCGACAGACGCCATGGAAGGTATATCGTAACCTTTCGCAACACAAAGGCACCTTTTTTTAAAGCACGGCTCTATATACGACCCCGCTGGCTCCGACCCAGCGAAGCAAAATTAGATCAGATTCCGATTACAAATCTTCTCCTTCACGTGGAATCCAATTTAGGTAGATTGGCTTCGCCGAATACAGCCGCGGCCTTGTTCCCCAAAAGATAGTAAATGTGCACCGCCATCGCCATGGCGACCCGGATTGAAGATGGTGCGGGATTGTCACGCGAAGCACGTTATATGCTTTCGACGATATAAAATGGCACACTGATGAAAAAATCCGCGACCAGATGAAGCTGTGCTGATACGCTATCTATTGGCATTTGATGCGCGCGCGGATGGATGATGGATGTGCATGATGGGCCCAGAAGTTCGTATTTCGTACATACATGCTCCGGCTTTACGCTGCTCACCTCGACGCACAACTCGGTGAGTGGTGGAGAAGAACGCTCACGCCGCCTCTCGTTCTAGCTCTCGGTCTCATTTGAGAAGCGAGCTGATAGAGATCGCTCGCAAAATCATGGCGTAACATCTCCATACACACACTCGCATCACAATCGCATCACATGTAGACAGAGAAAAGCGCCGAAACGAGACACACAGTGAATTGCTTTGCCGGAACTCGGATTTCTGGATATTCAAGTCAGACTAGTAAATTACAAAATGAGGGATTAATGGACCCTCACTAGTGATGCCGGCACGCGCCTGCAGCTTGCTGCGGCAGCGCACCTTGCACGCAAGTGTCAATGAACAGACAAGCCTGATTGAGGAAGATACTGTTGATCCTTCTCAGCCAATAAACTTCCATCATCAGAGCTCATGACACAGATTCGGGTACTGTAGGCACACTTCCGGCCAACATTAAAAGCTCACACCAACTCGATTCGATGGCTAAGTACCGTGGATCTTAGAAGAAACCACACCTTCTACGTGCTTCCAAGTCTCCTACTATCCAAGATTCTCAACGAAGACTAAGAGCAGAGCCTGTGGAAATTGTGCAGCCCCGCTTCGGTCGGCCCGCCTCCGCTTCTCTTCTACCTCATCACTTGGCAGGCCGAGCCAGCAACTTGGCCCCCTTGACACGCCTTTTGTACAGGAACTCTCAAAACTGTCAAATCGAGCACCTTCAGACCCATTGACACCTTCTCGGGCCAATAGGAGGCCTAGTCTGTCAACGAGGGCCAGCGAGCGCTGGTTTCTTCTCGACACCGATCGTCCACTTCTCCCCAGAGACGAAAAAATTGGACGCGTCGGGGATTTATACTTCCTCGTCGTCGCGAGACGACCGCATGAAAATCAAGGCCCGTACCTTGTTGGTTGATGTCGACAAATGTAAGGAGGGACATTTTCAGCCAAGTGATAAGTTTGAATCCTGTGAATCGAGATCTAATTGGTCGGGGCCTTCCAGGATCAAAATGAGGCCACGGGTCAGAAATGACAATCCACTTATTCGTGTTCAAGAGTCATCATTGTCCTCCTCGGCGGCATGCTCAGGATCCTCCTGCTCCTCTTCCGCATCCTCGCGTTCTTCCCAGTCGGCCACCGGCGAGCAATCGTACTTATGCCGAATCTTCCAATCCAGAGCCTGACATGCGCGAGAGCAGTAATTCACCGACCCACAAGCTGAACATCGCCTGAACTCGTGTCTTCTCGTCTCGGGACGTCCGCAATTGGAGTGAGAGCACAGGCGCAAGCCGGCCTCCGGCGGGTACAAGTTAAACCAGTCAACCAAAAATCTATTAGCTATGTGCAATTTCGCAGGAGGAACATTGCAGCCGAAATCGCTCAACAGAGAACAGCCTCCGCCTTGAAGAAGCCTGTAGACCGAATTGCGTTCCAAATAATCATTCACCGCAGGATGGACTGCAGGATAGACCGCAGGTTGCCCCGCAGCGCTCCGGGTTGCGCCGTCTCCCTTGGTGCTTTGAAGAGCGCTCTGATACACGATGTGGTTGTGAAGACATCCCACTCCGCCGCTCCCAGCTGCAGCTTGCAACGCGCTTTCCATAAAACATCGAGGCGAGGCCGCGACTGCGGCCGCGGCCTCGCGTGCATTGGCTTCCAGCAAGAGCCGCCTACCTTCCGGAATGTTCATGGGAACTCCATACCCGTCCTGTAAGCAATGGCCGAGCTCTCTCATCGCGTCCACGTGACCTAGAGTTGCGGCTCGCGCGCACAGCGCGACCCCGGCCTTCAAATCCTTGTCCTTCCGCGTTCCTCCGCTGCCATTGAACTGGATTACGGCCAGCGAGTGCAGCGCAGGGGCGTGCGATTGCATGGCTGCTTTCGCCATTAGCGAAGCTCCTTGTCCTTTGCTATTCATGCAGTAGAATCGTATCTGCATCGACAAAGCGCAAATGATCACTTTAGCAACTGCACATTCAAATCCTTCACTGACAACACGGCAGCTGGAGGTGGCGGGTTGTCAGTGCTAGAGCATCAGTGTCTGTGCATAACGGTCAGGTGCTGAAAGTTACGCACCATGCCCATGGTGTAGGAAGCTTCGACGTTTCCCGCATGTGCACACCTCTTCAGGTATCTGTGTGCGCCATCCGACCAGCCGCTGGCCTTCACGGCGAGGGCAGCCGGCGCAGCGCTGGCCAAGACCAGATTGTGGGTGACGAGAGCACAGAACCTGCGGCACCTGCATTACGGTCCACCGATCACAATCAGGATCTGAAACGGCCCATGATCGCTTCCAGAAACACACAACAGAAACGAAACGAGACGACGCGTCGCGCTTGCCAGGAGCACAACGCAAGCTCCGGAGTTTCGACTTGCGCCACAGGCAAGAACCGGCCTGCCCACTTACGTCAGCATTGTGTGCACGACATCAGCTGGAGACTTCGCGGTAGCGCCGAGCCGAACCATGATATCGAGGACGATATCGTCGGAAAGTAAATCGAAAACACTGGAAAACCTCTTGGTTCGCGAGACCTTGCGCGGCCGTTCACACACTTCCTCCTTATCCTTATTTGCTGCTGGTCGTCGCCTCTTCGGCATGGGAGGTCGAATACTGAAAGTAATTCCATCGGATGCAGAGGGATAATTTGCTCCTCTCGTACGCATGATCGATAAGCTTCGATTTTTCCGGCCACAGACACTTTTCCCTTCGCGCTTCTAGGGGCCGACTACGAAAACGCTGTCGTCTAAATTCGCAGACAAATTTTCGTCATTAGCTAGACTGTCCTGCCGGTTCACGGGGACGAGCGGCTTCCTACAATCTCAAAGCTGCGGGACGGGCAGCGCATGCCAGTCTCCGGACAGCAGAACCGACCAGGATTTGAAGCTGGGTCCACGAGCAGCCACCCAAATTGTTCCCTGCGACAGTCACGCACTCTGGTGAGAACTCCTCCGGCATTTCTCCAGGTCGAAAGAGGAGCGCTCGCAGCTTCTGGCCCGGATCACTGGCCTCACCTTACAAAGAGTCGCTCATTCACGCCGCCGAGGCGCCGGCGGCAAGATCACTTCAGTGCAATTCAATGTAACTTGCACTGGCTGCGGACGACAGACCAGAACTGGGTCGTTGCGGCTGAGCGGGACGCTGCCACAAAGACGAGAGACCGGACGAGGATGATGCGAGGGGAAGGTCGGAACAAGAAGGCGGCGAGGGGCAGCGGCAGAAGAAGAAGAGGAAGCGGAAGATGGCGTGGACTCCTCAAGCTTTGCTCGCACTCTGCTCTCCAGCTTGATTCGCCCGGCAGCTTCCCTGTGCTCGACAATCCTCCGCTGCTCTCCGCTCGTCCGCTCGTCCGCCCTCTGTCCAGCTCCAGATCGCGTCGTCCCAGCTACACTTCTGCAGCGCCTCAACAGGCTCTATAAGGGCTCAGACTAGAGTCGCCCATCCGTGGGGCAGAGCGCAACTCCGTTTCCAGACAAGCAATCACCGATCCGAGTGCCAGCAGCAGCTCGCAATCTGGCAATCTGAACCGGGCTCAGAACTTGGATAAATGTCGCAGCAGAGGTGAGGTGAGATGAGCCAGGTCGAGAAACCCGGAGAGCGCGCAGTGCCGCGGGGACGGGGGAGGGGGGATGCTGAGCTCTGACCGGACTCTCCCAAGGGTTGCGGCAGGCGAGGGCAGCTTGCGGAGGCGCTTCAAGGCGCTTCAAGGCAGGCCCGAGCAGCACTAATAGCAGCGCGCTTGTACGATCGATGAATGAATGCGGAAAGCGATCTGCTGACGGGGCCACATCCGGCAAGAAAAGCACGCAAACCGGCAGCCAGGCTGAAGGCTGAAGGCTGAAGGCTGAAGGCAAGAATACTGCCTGCGCAAGCAAGCCTGCCAATCGTGAAGTGCGAGGAGAGCGAGCGAGCGCTGAGGCTGGCGCTGGTGTTGTGCGAGGACTGGACTCTGGAGACAGCGGACGCTGCTGTTCCTGCTGCTCCTCCTCCCGAATCAAATCATCAATTTTCCATTGCCCACTCCTCTCCCACAGGCGGAGCCAGCAGACAGGAGACGTGAAAGTGGGGAGACGTGGCCGCCGGGCAACCGCCTTACGCTCGTCGAGCATGTAGCCGCAGCAGCAGCAGCAGCAATCCCACAGCGCACACTCACTCCTTCGCTCACTCGCTCACTCGCTCCCCTCAATCCAGCTGCGCGCATGGCCTCGCTTACCACATCCGCAGTCGCCCCACGCAGTCCGCCCTGTCCTGACGACGATCGCCGACTGTAGCGCAGCGGTCAGCCGCAAGGGCCATGACCGGCGACTGCAGGACAGTCAGCCCATGGCAGCGCGAACGTGTTCGGTCGTGGTAAACTAGTTGCCCCCGTCGCCCCCCTGTCCTTATCTGCAGCCTCCGTGCCTGGCTCTGGCTCTGCTCCGTCATGGACTCGGTTCCGACGCGAAATAAAAACTTTGATTCCGACCCTCGGGCCGAGGGGTTCCTTTTCCGTCGAAAGTCCATTCCTGATCGAAGCCTCTCCGCAATCGAAATGGCCGCCTCGACGTCAGCCGTCGGCAGTCGCCACCCCCGATGTCTGGTCGAATCTGGTACATATATTCACGTTCGCTGGGTCTAGCTCTGAGGTGCGCCATGGCTGGTCTACGGACTGCGCTGCTGGAGCTCGTACGGGGCCTGGGCAACAGAAACTGCGAAACTGTGCAACTGCGTCGTCAATCCCTGTGACGAGATTCTCCTCATCTGTGCCAACCGAGTCGTCTAGCCGTCGAACCTTGTAACAAACTGACGTCGTACCCTATCGACGAACGTCGTACACTACGAAACTGCGTCGTCATCTCAATGCACGAGCCACAGTTCGGACATTGAGATCGCCAACGTGCGACGAAGTCACTCACATGGTCGTATTATTGCCTTTCGTGGCGACGTTTACGGATGTGGGTTGATTTAGAATTCATAAATTAATTTTGTTAAATGAGATCATTCATAGTTTCTTCGGTCGAAAAGAGGGCTGAGCCTGTTTTGTCTTCAACATATTTATGATCAAGAATTTTATGCTAGATAATCCTATTTATCCAGTTTATTCCTAAATGAAACTTTCTCATCAACACATATCTTGACCGTTTGATTTCAGAATGATCAGTCACTACAAGATCATAACATCACCACTCTAACAGAAGTTCTAATCAACTGTATCCCAACGATTAAATGGAGAGTACAGTCAGACTACATGATTCGCCTAAATGATGTGCACGACTTTTTGCATCACATATCAAACATGCAGACCGTTATTCAGAATCAAAACGTTACAAGATTGAAATTATACACGGCTTGACTGAAATCAAGATTTTTTCCTCTTTTATAAAATGTCATTATTGAATGCGAAACAGGTTTCGATCTATAACTATAAATAGCACTATTATTAAGAGAACTATTTTTAATCCGTTGCACATGTCATTGAATTGTTTACGAAGATCAAAATTAGGTAAGGAACGCTTAAATAAGAAATAAAAAATGATCAAGATGATCAAGAATCAAGAAGATTCGATCTTTCCAGATCCAGAATCAAGAAGATTAAAATACATTAAGCATCTCATCGGTGTGATGTTATGAGATAAACCCTTACGAAAAAACACGTCGCTCATATTCTAGCAAAAATCTGAGAACACCATTGTGTCATCGTTCTAACTTGGAATGAAGGTGCAATTGTTTACAGAAGATTATTACAATGGTTCTATCTGTGTCAAATTATTGTCTTGTGGCAGCCTGTCACAAGACTGGCAGGTGGGAGGACTGGAGTTGACCGCAGTGACATTTTCTCTCATGGATTCTTTCGTCACTGAATTAGATTTCCACCGCATTCCGGTCTATATGTATTTTTAATTCCGAATCTGATCGTATCCAATTTACGCTGCGATATGTTCCAAGGTCAGATTTTGCCACTCACAAATATTTCTGCAAGACACTAGGAGAGAGAGCCCACGGCCACCAATACTGTAAGGTCTCAACGAATTCTCGCCAGAGAAAATTCGAAACTGAAAGATGGAAAATGGCCATCTAAACCAATTGGATAATACGTGCTACAGTACTGCGTTGAGACACTCAAACCATGTAGATCAAGTGGCACATCACTGTGACCCTTGCTTGTCAGAGCACAGTCCAGTTCCCACCTTCCCACTCGCAGTCGGAACATAACCGCTTTCCAGACCGCCAGCGGCGGACCCAAGGCACGTATAGGCAACTGACACTGGCTGCCCAGGAAAGCAAGAATGCCAAGCCGAAGTTTAATTTGTGTCCTCTCAAGTCGGGACCAAATTAGATTTCTTCAGAATAAGGCTTATCTTCGATTGCTGGACGGGGATTTTGATTCGAGGCAGTACACAAGAATGTGTGACTGTGTCTATTTTGAAGATTTGAGACAAAGTTGTTTTCTGAATTAAGATCATACCTCCATTACTTCACATGCACGGTACTGTAAGTGTCTAGCCCTATGGCTATAGGAACATTCTGGTGATTTCTCGCACATTTTGACATGTGCGAAGGTGCAGAATAAATTTACGGAAATTGTGGCACTGATGATTTTTAATTTATTAACTCAAGCCTCTGATTCTGTTCTCTGATTCTGTTCTATCGATGACTCTCTCCGGAGCAACGCTACAATGGAACAGTCAATCTGTTAATCGCAAGCGGAGGCCAAGTGGAATCCAAGAACGATGGTAAGGCCGATCGACGGTGGGGAATTGTTTGTCGCCCCGATCGATTAGCATCAACTTAGCATCAACTTAGCATCAATTAGCATCTTCAATTTTCGTTTGACAACAAATGGGAGGGACGCAAAGGCATACCGATCGTCGCCTTTTGCGAGGTAAAACTTTCGGTATTCTGCTGCTCTTTGAGCTTCAGGATCCGAAAAATCACAGTATCCACTGCGTACGTCGTTTAGAGATTGCGAATCGCGTTCAAAGCCCACTGGCCTCCAAGTCTTATGGAGGTGCGTGCGGCCGCCAATCCAGCCGTTGCGGTTTATGGTTGTAGAAAGCGAGAGACATTGCTAGACGTTCGGCGTCGAAGTTAAATTTGAAAGTGAAATTTCCGCACACGTTCTAGTCTGTTGGTGGAGCTGATGTGAGGAGACAACCTGTGCCTCGAGCTCAGTCGATTCGAAGACTCGAAGAATTAACGGTGAATTAAGAATGGCTTTGGCTCATGTCACGGTGATAGCTCACGGTGGAGGTTTCTGATGTGCGCACAACCTGTGAGAGGCTACAATCAGGAGCTCACCGCGTTGGCGTTCGAAAGTGCGGAAGACTCGAAGAATTAACGGTCGATTTGTCTGACATTGTCGTGGCGGATTTCACGGTGATAGCTCACGGTCGAGGTCTTCCAGAAGGCCTGCTAAGGAAAGCGGCCGATATCGATGGCATTGTCATCGGTTCTCGCGTTGGGATGGGATGGCATGACATGACGAGGAGGCTTGGCATGAATGTAAATTCTAGCTCTGTAGATGCTCGGCAGTTGCCGTCACCTTAGGGTTTAGCACTTGGCCTCCGGAGAGTCGAGAACTTTGCTCGCTGACCTTCGGCATTGCTAATGTAGGTTTAGCGACCGATACCTCGTAAGAACGATCACGTTGCTGTCGGATGCAATGGCAGTTCGGGCGTTCCACGAATTGCTTCCACGGATTCGTAGTCTTCAGTACACCGTCATCTATTCGAAGAGACCTCCAGAGCTTGTCTGCTCGTCAGGTAAACGAAAGAGTGCTTTTTCCCAGTTGGGAACATTGTAATTCTGGTGCGGCAGTGAGGGAATGTCTGGAATGTCTGGAATGTCTGAGTGTTTATCTGGGCAAGGTTTGTCTCTAACTTCGAGAATCATCAAAACGGATGTTACCGTTCATCTACATTCCTGGATCTCATCTCGTTCAGCTCAATTTTCTCGTACATCAAGCTGACAATACCTTGAATTGGGCAAGGTTTTTCCGATCGGTTGTTGTACATCTGTGCTCTGGAATGATGTGGCGGTCGTATGGTGGAATTTGCGTGTGTCATATTAAATAGCCTGTACTCTGGTCGAATGGCAGATGAAAACTCGGAGCCTCTCTGCGCTGAAGTGCCAGAGCAGCGGAGTGGAAATGAAATGGATTGAGAGTGAAGACTTTGTTTGTTTGACAGTACAGAGCCAGGACCACCAGTGGCGACGAGGCAGAGCGTGAATTTTTACTTCTACCGTCTGTGGGCCTCCAAGGCTCCCTCAGCATCCTCAGGCCTTGGCAGCGTCGGTCACAAGTCGGAGGAAACAAGTGGTCAGGTGCATGGGATGCCCAGAGCTGACATTGACAGGGGATTCCGAGGCTGGGATGGGAGACCTCATGTGGACTACGCAACGAACAGATGGCCCGTGCGCCAGTGCAGCACCAAAGCATCGTCGTCCGGTTACAGGGAATCCACAGTAGCCAAGGGTACCAAAAATATGCCCCTGACTCCCAAGAAATGGAAGCGAGCTCTGCCTTCCAAGGAAGTGTTGAATGCGGTGTACAGTCTCCGACGCGTCAAGCGCAATCCAGATGGTATCAAAGAGGTGATGAGGAAGTACGTTTCACGTCTTCTTAAATTGGAGATGTTGCTCGTGCTGTCTGAACTTCAACGATTAGACGAATGGCATCTAGCCCATCAGGTATGGCTTCTTGATTTCTATTGCACTTAAACTCGCCTATCCTCAGCTCATCTCGGCTGGTAATGACAAAAGTTGGTTGCGCCGAGATGAGGTGAGTCGGAACAGGAGTTCGTAACTGAGATTTACTGATCGATTGATTGTTCAGTCGGGCTCGTTAGACAAATCGACTTCTACAGGAGATCGAACTGACGTACAACATTCCAAGTCTTCGCCTTCTTAATTTAGACTGAACATTTCTCTGCTTGCTGCTTGTAGACAATTCTTGTCAACCAGTCAAGGCTATCTTGTTTTCTACAACTCCGTCCGCCTGGCTGAATTTTCCCGTTCGGAGGCTTTCTCTTTTAGACAATATTGTTCAGGTCGTCAATCCTGAGCAGTTCGAAGAAAAGTCTTCAATATTCCACGGTGACCCAATGTGTGAGAAGCAAGTCAAGTCGAGGGTGTCTGACATGGGTGCTGTCTTTTGAAACAACTGCCCTGCCTTCCCCGTCCAAGCTTAAGCTATGTTTCGTGTGCTGCAAGTGCCATCCATCTACTGTGGCCCAGGAAAAGAGTCAAGCCATGCCAATCGCCTCAATTGCTGCTATCTTCGTAGTCACGAACTCTCAGCCTCTTACGGCTCGAGCGAGGTGAAGTGCCGACATTGCACGAAGGGCAGTCGTTCAAGTTATATGGATGCGATAGGTACAAGTCATTCCAGCTGCGTCCATGTCAGTGGAGGTTATCATGATTGTGCGCGGGTGCCTTTGGTGTTCAGGTCTTCACTATGATACGGAAGGAATCGTGGTATAAACCGGATGTTTATCTATTCCAGACAATGGTGCAAGTCTTCGGAAGGAATAAGAGAATCAAGGAGGCCGAGAAAATTTTCGAAGACTTGGAAGACGAAGGTCTGCATCCCAATGAGAGTATCACGAGAGAGCTACTTAGAGCGTACGTTATAAGCGGAATGATGCCAGAAGCTATAAAGCTTTATAAGGAAATCTTGGAGTTGGGCAAAGACCAAGCCGCGAGAAGCATATTATTTCACGGGCTTAGTGCCGAGGATAAAGAAGAGCTTTCCCAATATGAAAGGCAGAAAGGAATCGACTGGAGTTTTGTTGAAAAGCGGGACTGAAGAGTGAGTTTCGATAGTATCACTCCAATTTCGTCCTTGTTGTCACATACTCATAACTTTTTCCTATTGGGGTGTCGAATCAAGTAACACTTCAAGGTAACAAAGGTGCCATGTAATTGGCACCTTTGTCATTTATTTTGGGCAACCCGATTACGTCTTACCAATCTAGCATCAAATTTTTTCGATTTGGATTCGTGTGTCTTTTGTCGTTAATTTGTAATAAGTTTACGATATGAAGTTGACTGTCAATGTCTGACTAGAAGTTTGCACCACTTTCTAAACTCTCAAGCGAAGGATTAGTCGTGATTGTTGAAAATGTTTATTATTCATCATCTTGAAAATCAACAAGTTATCTTAATTTATTAGTTTGTAAACATTTTGTTAGCGTCACATGTTGACAGTTGTAAATTTTTCAGTAGATCAAGTAACTGAATTTCTTTTGAAATTGCACCTATTAAGATGGATTGAATATTGTTAATTTATGAAGAATCTACAACGCTTTGGTCTTTGTACAAGCATTTATCATCAACGTTAGACAGCAGTGTATTTTTTTCTTTCAGATCGATTTAGTCAATCATGGCATCATATTTCTTTATTCTTTGTTAATATAAATTTCATATGTTTTTAAACTTCATTCAGGATGTTGGAATTTAGGGATAGTTTATGTAACTTAGTGAGAAGAATCTAGACATAAGTAATTACAAGCTGAATAAAATAAATTGTTAAATCAATCAATTTTCATTGGGGTAGTGGCAATTCCATGTATTTGTGATTTCATCATGCCGCACTCTGTTGGATACTGAAATCACACATGTTTGCAAGACAAACTCTGTATTCAGTACGATTTAGGAGTTGTACATAAACCTCAGATGAAATATTATGTAAAATTTTCTAATGGTATGACTTGAACATTCTAGATTAAATGTATGTATCTAATTGATAAATCATGTTTGGTTGGAATTTTTTTCCTGACAAAATTGTTGGTGCAATTGCACTTGTGTGGGTCGAGATTAATAATGATTAGGTGTAATTACTGTAATCGATGACATTACAGTAATTACACTGATGAATCTCGTCTTCAAAACATCTTATCTTCGGAGCTATATAAGTAGAAAAGAGTGGTCAGTAAAGATAGCTCCAGTTTCTCTCTGTAGCTTGACTTGTGCTTTCGCCTTTCGCATTACAGGCACCTTAATTGTAAGAGATTTTACATCTCACTATTTGTCAATTAATCTAAATATATATCAGAACATGATATGTCAACTATATTTATTCCAAACACAGACTAATAAATTAGAAATTGATACTTTACGCATACGCCACGTCAAATTGATACCTTCTGCTGTTTTATGCTATCAATTTATTAGTTTGATTTGCAGTTAGTAGGAAATTGTAACAAATACCACTTCTTACATAACCTATCAAGCAACAATAATTTACAAACTTAGTGTGTTGATGGGCAATTTCCCATTTCAAAATGGGAAATTAGAACTCCAAATGAAAAATTCTTAACAGGTTGAGATTCTGTTTCTAAACTAAAACCTTTCTTACATTATTTCGATGTGTTAGAATCGTCAAAAATAGGTTCAGAATTGCGAAGATCAACCTCTTTGGTTCGCGCGTGTTTACAACGAAGATAAATATCGCAATGCTTGCTCAGAATTTGATGATTGATTGTGACAGTTGCAACACCACAATTGCTGGAAAATGGTGTAGATCACCAGGTGAAGTGTTCAGGGTGATTGCAAGCACTATGATGACATTTCTTCACCTTAGTCCATCAATTTACATTGATGTCTTGAACCAAGGCGGTCAAAAAATAATGGAAAGTTAATGACTAGCGTAACATCTGGCAATGTGTCAGAGTACAAATGACTCAGCTATGAAAGAATCTAATGGAGGAGAAAAAAGAAAAATGTACAAATGGAGGGGTTATGAGGAGATCCAAAGTTTCGGACTCAACCATGTGCAACGCATATTCCATGCATTGTAGTTTCAAACGTCACATGAATGACATTTTCCGTATCCCGATACTTGAACCAATTACAGTCCTGCGATAATCCTCTAAGTTTTGCGTGGTGGTCACCAAGAATTGTGGTGTTAGTAGTTGAGAACTATGCTCGGAGGTACTTCACAAATGCTTGTCTCAAAGAAACTTGGCTTTGTCTATATCAAGCCGAGAACAGCGTACCACACCGAGGAGATGTTCCGGTAGTTCTTCCTCTGTATCTCCCTGTGAAACGCGACATTGTCAACCCTCGGTCAGCACTTCCTGTTGAGAGTGATTTGCTTTGCCAAAAAGTCTAAAAACCGAAATAGAGTTCAAGTTACGCTAACGGGTAGACATAACAATTGCACAAAGCAATTCCAACTGGTCAAATGCAGAACACTAAATGAACCAAATCCAGAAAATACTCCGACTTGTTACAAAATGGTGGATGAAGTATTCCGACATGTATTGCACACTAAAAGCACCCATAAATCTGCGGAGAGAAGGGAGAGGAAAGAGGAGAGGCCGAAATGACACGAGGAAGAAATTCACATACCCTGATTAAGAAGGCCATATCGACCACGAGTGCTGTAATGTATCCAAACACGAGGCCCAAGACCCCACGAACAACACCAGATGATCCTAAGTTCACGTCGACCTGTAAAATCAAATTCGTAGATTCCCATGAGAGGCCAGGTTTTGTATCCTTGAATGATATATGCCACTCTAAACTAACCTTTGACCTACTTACTTGCCAAGTACGTAGATAGGGACTTAAAGACAGTGGGATCTGTGACAAGTCTTTAAAGGTCAGATACGATGGGATGTAGGCGTTGCAATTAGGGATCTCTATCAACTGGAAGGTCTTAGCACGAACGATCTTTCACTCTTAAGACATTTGCGATGTACTGATTAACCAAACAAGTCATTTGAGAAATGTATCCCACCTCGATATAGTTCGGGCCATTGTGGTAGGTGGTCTCCAGAATCTGCGCCATCGTAACAGCTCTTGATCCAACAGCTTGCTTGATTATCCACGACCCCTGTACAGTCACGATTTATTTGTCAAACAAAAGACTGGTGAGGATGGAGGTTCAAATGCTCCAAAAGAAGCAACGTAATGCATTAACTGCTCTCTAACGCCTCAACGCAAGCTCAGTAGACCTGCACTAATTAGCGCACTCGAGTCTAGATGATCAGAACTAAAAGCGGACTTCAGCCATAACAAAGCTTAATGAAAGTTCAGGTAATGTAATTCACGATCAACGTAGTTCGATTGAAACGGAGAACGCGTATATCCTTCATTGAAGAAACAGGAGCATTTCTCGAGTATGGAATTTAAAATTCCATCCGCCTTCGATACCGGATTATATGAATGAGAGAAAAGAGCAAGCCGAATTATAGGAAACTAAATAATATCAAACCTGACTTACATATGGAAGCATTGACAGTGCAGAATTGTGCTGCTTACTGTGTGTTCGCGAAAATGTTTGCGCACAAGGGGCCTATCTATTGTTTTGTATTTGAGACATCTGTTTGTGAAGTAGACCTGTGAAAAGGTCAAATGTGGAAAAACAAAACATCCCAAAATGCGACATATACACGTGTGACTAAAAAAACAAGATACGAGTTCGCACCTCGGCTATAGCTGGAATCAGTGTCAGCCTGCTATTTCGAAAGGTGTCATCTCCTTTGATGAACCTTTGAAGCAGTGATCCTTCAGCAATCATATTTTGAGTTGCGAAATAAAATACGAGGCTCATCTGTGACGATTGTGGTACCTGTAGAATAAAAGAAAACCCTGTGACATGCAATTTCTATCCAACCTTTGCAGAAGTAGAGATGCACCTTAGTAGAATGATGAGAATTTATGCTCCCTCGTCACAATCTTACTAGAACTTTCGGGTGCACACATCCATCGAAAGGCTCTTGATGGAAATACGACGGTAGTAATTAGACTACTGCAACTATAAATGACATAGAAGAACTAATAATTACTTTCGTACCTGAAGATTGACAACAAAGAAGAACACGTCCTTGCCAGCGGCTTTCTGCAGAACATAATCGAAATTGAATGGGAAGATTTGCATCGACTTTACTGTTGTGAACTGGTATTACTTCCAAAATATCAAGCGGAAAAGCAATTTGGCAAAACAGAGCATACCATTTTGAATTAATATACAGTGCAGATATTCTTAAAAAATGCATCAATACAAGCATTACTCTATAATCTACTGAAGCATCAAAGATTATAAGATCAAAGATAACCGAGTAAAACCTGAACAAGGTTCTGAGGCCGGCCAGCAATGTGATCCATTCTTTCTTTTCCTTTATACCAGTCAACCGTAACAAGCTTGCAGAGAGGTTCTCCTGCTGGGACCTGCTACTACGATGTAAATGGTTCCGTTGATAATTGAAATAGGGGCCGATCCGAAACATAATTCCTCGTCATAAAAAACTACCCATGATCATTTCAAAACTAATCTACTGAATCGGTGAATTAAATCTTTATGTGATTAACATATATGTGCACACCAGATATGACAGATATCATCGAGACATACTTTCTTAGGAAATGGCATCAAAAGACGTTCCTAGAGCTCACAGAAATATCCTTCGTTCAAAGAGAGTGTTCTTGTCTAGGAGTGACCTACCAGAGCTCCGTTGAGTAAGTAGTTCGGCCCTTTAATTTTGAAAGCGCTGCTATTTGGTTGTGAGTAGCAATGTTTTCCGCCTTCTTGGGGACCTACTGGCACATTACCTTTGAATATCGACCAATCGACATCAGGCAAGTCATCTGCAAACAGAAGGGTAGACATAAGTCTCACGCATAATTGAATTCTATATATTGCGAGAGATCTGGATCATAACAAGGTTTTCCTTCAGATTGACAGTCATCTCCAAGACAATCGGACATCGTCCATTTTCATTGTAACAAAGGACCATGTTACATGCACGCAGCTTACAACACATGACTTGCATAGAATCAAAAGAGATGATACCTCTTTTGTGACTGCTCTTGGCATGAGTAGCTTCCACAACAAATTCGCATGTGTCAACTGTGCCCTGAAGGAAGAATCACAAAATTCAGGGATTTCGAAAGATATATGGGAAGCAGCAGGAGAGAAAGCTTGTCGTCTTGACATACTGCCCATGAACAGAAGTACGATGTAAACCCTTATACAAACCGTTTCTTTTGCCTTCTACACAAATAATTAGTTACGTAGCGGATAGCTTGATGAGTAGGCATCTGACGGAGACTTGAACTTTTCAGCAGATCAACACTGCCAGACACATCACAAATTCCTGACATAAAATACGCGATACCGACCTCGGATACGTCTGAAAGCTGATCCATAGTTGCATCATAAAACTCTTCTAGATCATCGGAATCAAGAAAGGGGACGTCATTTATGGATTCCGAAGGATGACGAGGACTTGAGCAGTCTTCCTCAAACTCGACAATGTGCCTCTTCACAATTGTCACAGTTGAATCCACTCGTTGAGCAGCATAGTAATCACGAATACCTGCCACACCAAAGATCACAACGATTACCGTTAAAACCAACACACTGTGCATAATTACTTCTTCACAGTAGTAGAAACTTGAGAAACGGACGAGGAATTACCCTCGGAAAATATGAAATCTCCCTCTTTTGAACTTGAAGTAGTTCGAGAATGTCGTTTTAAACGTCATGTCTCCTGGACACCTGAACGATGGTAAAAAGACCATCGATCAAGTGTCTTCTACATCAAGGCATGGACAAAGAAAGGAACCCTATCGAGCTATGCGCGTATCTACAATATATACTTGATGTTCTGATTTTATAAGTCGTCTATAAAGAAAACAACTATTCCACTAAGCTCACCTGCAACGGTACTTAAGAGGGTATCTCGTAAATAAGCAGGGTATGCAGAACGACCCATGCTCATCCAGGACGTACAACCGGTCATATCCATCTCAAGCACATACTCAACCAACGAACGCGGTTTTCCGCTGGAACTAGCTTTCAGCGGGGTCACAATATACCCTCCACCTGCCAAAGAAAATTCATTACCATCCTTCTACTGAAGAGAAAATCATGGCTTGACTAAGTTTCTTATCGGAAAACCTCAACGAGTTCAGTTCAGATTCATCACTTCATTCGTTGCATTCAAATGAACGATTGACGAAGGGGTAACATCAGCTTTCGTACTGTTGATAAGTGCTCTGACATGGCAGGTCTGTATGGGGAACTTTGGCAAGGACCTGTAAAACACAGCTGACAGCAGTCATGAAAAACAAGATGATCAAAAGCAGGCCTACATGCGACTTCACAAGTATACTCAATATTAACGTGGAACAAAGTACAACGCTTGCTTCTGTGTCACATAATGACATACTGATTTCTTTATGACGGGACAGAAAGGTTCAAGTTTATTGCTATGCAGAAGCATGCATACACCAAAGACTACAGAGTGCTGAAACTGATTCCCTTACACTATATCTTCAACCATTTGGGACAGCTATGAGAAGCTTACTCTGGAGGCAGAGCAAATTCTATTCAGCTTTGCTACGTTCTAAAGGGAAATAAATCTTGATGACGATGGGAGTAAACTAACCATAGGCTCCGTTCTCTTCTCGCTTCCAGTATCTAGATATGCAGAGATCCCTTGGTCGAAGCCACCTAAGTTTGGGAACCAGGTTCATTGAGAAAGGTTACTGTCAGCAAAATCAGTAGCTGTAGTAATTCTTGATGTAAAAACTCTTGAAAACGATAGAATGCTCACGAAAAAGAAAACTTAAAACTAGGGCAGTAGGATGACCAATGAGCACGAATGACCAGTGACTTACATCCAATCTTGGCGTAGGCATATGTGAACAACATCAGAATGCCCATCGATAGTCTCCACAATCTTTGATGATTGGATCGTATGATCCCACCTGATACATGTTTGCTAATTAGGCCTTCAGTTATATACACGTAGAGAGTTAATCCACAGCACTATAATCATCACTCTTTGGGAACTTACTGTGAGCGTTCCTGTCCATAGCTCATAATCAGGTCAAATATTTGGCTTGCTGAAGCTTTGACCACTCCGACAGATTTCATGACCGGCAACTGCGAAATCAAGTGCATGTTTAGCAAGCAAAATTTCATCAATTCTCCGATATGAAAGCAATGTCAATCGGCAATGGCCAGACTCCCACCAAAACTATCTCAATATCTGCACACTGTCACCGTTTATGAAAATACGAAGTTCAGTGTTAAATTTCACCTGATTATCGTAGTCTTATGAGGATAACCATGGCCACATCTCAACTACAATGAACTTCATATTTCGAAGGACAGACATTTACCTTCCACTTTGGGGTGTCAGGAATCTCCTCAAAGTAGCGAAGTCCTGTCCACACAATAGTCTGTGTTAAAATTGACACCACAAAGAATACAAGAGCTCTAAGCCAGAGGATGAGAGAATTTACAAGAGAGTTATGAAGAGACCATATGAAGCGAGGGAGTGCGTCACGGATCGACGGCCTCTCAGCATGGATTCAAGATAAATTCAACCGTGAACTGACACCACAACACCTGGCATAGGGTTCTTGAGAAGTCTTCAATCGGTAAATGGGATCTTAGTCTAATTACGAAGGCTAGAGGTCTACTTTGTTTCCTACGAATAATTTGAGAACCAAACTATGAGTGAAGAGATTCATTGATAACTGATCGAATTCTCGCGTGCTAATATGGTGCCCACTCAAGTACTTTATTATGCCGGAGGTGGGAGTACGGACCATTCTCACAACGTACGAGTCTCCACTTGCTTGTTGACCCTCCGGATGATGCTTTCTCATCTTCGCCGGGCGCATCAGCACTTGAAGTGCTTAACGGACTCTCTACAAACCATCAAAATCCACCGACATACATTTGACAGCTGAGTTGAGTCACAAGGCGATCACTTTCTATCGAACATGATTCATCAATCGCACTGGAAGCCCTTTCTCATGTTATCGTTTTACATCATCTAGATGGTGTTGAAATTGTTGTATGGTCATACCCATAGAGCTTTCTCAAGCTTATTTGCACGTGAAATGCTAACAATTAGCACAGGACACAAGGCAAATACATTATAACTACTACTGCTACTACTATTATTGGAAGGTGAATGGAAAAGGAGTGCCAATTACAGTTCAAGTGTGGTGTAAAGAAGGACCATACTATATGCGTTTCATAACTATCATTCAAGCACTCATGTATCAAGATTCTTAGTTTCTCAAAGAAGAACTAAAATCCAGAAATACGATTGTGCGCAATTTATGCTGATTTGACAGCTCACCTTGGCCGATTGTGACTAATCTGGCAAGTCCCTTGTGAACTTGTCCATTGCCAAGATTGGACGGACTTGTCGTCCGCGCCAGATGCTTCTGGTTGTTATCATTATCACTCCTTCAAACAAACTTTCCACCTTAGTTTTGCCGTCTTCAACGATGTGCAGCAGAAAATGATAAAACAGAAACTATGTTTATTGCAGAAAATTTACAAGACGAACATACAAAGCCTCGCTCGAGAAGCTCCGCCCAAAGCCTCCGGCAGGTGACCATGGTTCCGGAGTTGCACCTATAGGCTACGACACACAGGTCAGTTAGCACCAAATGCTTCAGCATAGTAATTAAAAGCGTAGAAGGACTAGGTACTGTGTTTGAAGGTTCTGTTTTCGATTTAGAACCCAATTCACGGTATTATTAAGATTCCAGAATTAAAAAACATTCAGTTGAAGAGAGGTTCAACACTCACCCTCTCAAGCACAGAAGTGATTGATTTCCTCCATTCAGCAATCTCTTCTGGACTAACAGCTCCAAGCTGAAAGAAATTTGATACCAAAAAATGGAACTTAGAGCCCAGGCTATTTATAAAATTGAAACCGATTGTAGTTGAGGTGTGCATAAAGACCTAGTAGTGTGTAACGTAGATTTGTAGGAGACTAATGCCTGTTGGAAAAAAATCTTTTCTCCGAGACCTTAATGAGCATGTACAAGAAACGAATGGAGGTACAATGAGCACTTACAAGGACTTCCTTGGCAGGGTCAGAGACGTCGTACAGACGGAGAGTATAAAGGACCTGGAAAGGGAATTTGAATTTACTTAGAAAATACCGAAGTTTCGGCTATTCGAGCTTGCCGTTGTTAAGTTGACAAGCTCTGGTCGAGAAAGGAATAACTTCGAAAGTCACCCATCCAAACTTCGTCTAAACTTCGTCATGGAGTAACAACTGATTTTTAAACGCTAGGCACTGAGAGGAAGGAAGTAAACAAAGTGCTAGCTGCCAGTTGATCTCAAAGTATACTATGTTAGTCGCCCTCTACGACAGGCTAACAGTCATAATCCGATTCTTCTTTGAGCAATCAAGATACTGAGGCATCATGGAGCTTAGTGTTTGAGCTCGTACTTTTCCATTGACTAGTTGTCTCCCAGTATCCTCCACACGGTGGTCAGTGTCCAGTAAACCTGATCGCAGTGGCACCTAGACAGATGTTCAATAACGCTACATGTCAATTGCGCAATGTGAATGACCACGCCAGGCGATGCGCACAATATAAACAAATCTACTAGTGGTAAATTAAACTTCCTAAGGAACTAAAGAACGTTATCGGATTAAGTCTACGTCTCGCCTGTAAGAATGTTTAGAAGGTGTGACTGTCGAAAAGGTTGCTAAAATAGATCAGAAACACAACGCAGCATGAAGTAATTTGAATCCGCGAAAAAATTTCCTGGTCGCCACAGGTAAGTCTACAATGGCTGCAGGAAACGGCTCAACACGTGGCACGCTGAAGTTTCAAAGGCTGTGCACTCGGGACGAGGTATCATTCGACTCTCCGCTTTGCAAATATCGCGACTGACATTTTCGCGTTTCATTTTTTAAAATGTCCACCATGGGCACCACACTATTCAGCTTCAGCAGTTTCGGTCAAATTTCATGCACAAACCCCTCGTGCATTCGGTGGCCACATGAACACAAACGTGCAAACTTTTGAAAATCCGTGACAATCTAATCACATTACTCAATGCCTCAGCCAGAGTTGAAATTTGAAATTTAAAATAAAATTTCCAAAACTACATATGAATGTTGGTAAGAAAGCTCATAAGTCGGCAGATCTTTCTCAGGGACAAGCAAACACACCAGATCGCCTTTGTGTTTATACTGAGCAAATCGACGTCCTGTAAGCACGCAGAATATGGAAAGGCAGTAGATGTGTTTTGTTCTGCTCTCCCCGAAAGTGAATAAGAATCCCTCTATTGAATTCGCCATCAGGATCACAGGCACATAATTCTCCAACGCTTGTCCGTTTATCTCATTCGCCAATTAGCCAACATTCTGCTCTCTCCTGAAAGCGGGAGCCAAAGTCGTTTGCCACTCGGAATCCATCCGATCCTTGCTTACAAAGTAGCCCGAGCAAGGCGCCTTTCACGCATCAAGAACCATTACCATCCTCGATCGATAAAGACCAGCACGACCTACCGTCCGACCTGTCTCTCCCCTCCGAGTACTCGTAGCTCCCTCGCAGTGAATATCATCATTTGCATGTAGGAAATGTGAGCTCTCCTAAGGCCATTTCTGACCGTCTCTACCTCTGTATCTCTCGCGCTCGCCAGTCCGATTCCCAACACACTACTGCGATGGATTTGGGCCCAATTCTCGTCTACGCCCCCTCGCTCCACCTAAAGCTCATCTTCTTGTTATCTTCTGGCATGTAACCATCTGTTTTACATTGCTGGCTGTCCCGTATGGCAGACTGTACAATGTACCGTACCACATCTCTTGTTCCCTTTGCTCCCTCCGTCCCCCTCTTTCGCTCCGTCTGGCTCCCCTGCTGCTCTTTCTACCCCGCTGCCTCCCCTTCTCTCCCGCTACCACTGTACCTCCCGGTCTGTCGACAGCCTGCTCGCAAAGCAGCAAAATCCATGTCCCCTCTTGTCGTTTTGGAGACTGCTGCGCCATTTTCATCTCGCACTCCGCCCCGGACCCCGGAACCCGACGCCGTCGACCCGTCCTCGTCCGATCAGACCATCCTCCGTGTCCGATGGTCCTCGGACACCAATCACTCCTTCCCTCCCGTTTCTTTACTTTCTTTCACCATTTCCCCAACTTGGAGAACCATTGATTCTCCTCCAGCTATGGGGGCGCTGACATGAACTCATGTTCTTCCGCAGAACGACGACAACTACCATCACTGTACGGCAATCGAGTGGATCATTGGGGTGCCAGCGGCAACTCATGCTCGTGCCTCCGTTCCTCCAGCTGTGCCGGCTCCTCGATGGTGACGCAATCAATAGCTCCTCTCGCTCGCCCTTTCTTTCTTGTTTTATGTTGGATTGTTACGAGCACCCGGACACCGACGGAGTTACAGCAGGGAGTTGGACCCATTTTCTTCTGCATTCAAATTCAGGAATCTTGAAATCAGTTCTTATTTCTATTCTCACCTTTTTACTCCGAAAGTTGAATTCAGTTCTTATTTCGATTCTCACCTTGTTACTCCGAAAGTTGTTACCGTACTACAGAGCAAGAAAACACCTTTTGATAGTGTGGGGCCTGGGCCTCCTGGCAGCGAGCAACCCAAGGCGCCAGGTGCTCCCTTCATCTGCGTCGTCCTTCGGATTGGATGAGGTGGAACTGTCAACAGGAGACTCCGGAGTCTATTCTGTCTCGGCTCGTGTGTGGCTGGTGGGCAGACCTAGCGTCTCCAGACCTACATTGCAGCGATGCCTTGAACGCGGGCCCGTGCTCGCTTGGGGTCTGGGACTCCGGGACCTCCCGTGATGTTCTCATCGGCGGGACAATTATCGCTCCATCGACCTTTCGGGCTTATGTCTGGCTTCTGTCAACGTGTTTCGCACATGATTAGCATCGCAGTCAAAAGCTCGCTCACCGAAGTCGAGTGCTTGAGTTACTTCACCAAGAGAAACTCTTCCGTTCGTTGATGATGACGGTCACCACACGAAGACATGCATGACATGCATGGTCTGCTTGGAAGGGCAAGTAACTCAACCATCGTAGGCTCCTCCTACCCACAGTGGTTCTCGGCAGATGGATGGACGTCCGTGCGATTTTTTTCAACACAACGGAAGCTCATCTTGTGCCATACAGTAATGTGAAATGCGGCGGGATACATGACACACAGTAGCAGAGGATGCTGGAAGTTGCATGGAAATCGACTCCTGATTTCGGGCCGTAGCAAAGTGTGGCACGATCGAGGGCGTTTCCCTCGCCTCTTCTGCAAAAATCTATTTCGATCACATCTTCTTCTATATTTGCTCATGATCTTCTTAGTGAAGCAGGACGCTAACCGGGGTTGAAGTGAAGGTCCCGTAAGTCTGATGTAACCGGAGCATGAGTTCTGTGGATGCTGGAGCATGCAAAACCACGGAGTGCCGCGTTTGCTTTACTTGCGGCAGACGTTGGCAGTCCCCTGCGAATCAGTCAATGACACCCGTAAAGCTTCCTACCAATTCGGAGTATCGAACAGAATCCCACAACCGAATTATAGTGGTCAACAAAAATAAAGAGCTGAAATTCACGCAATAACTTCCGCTGTTTATATTTCTCAACGGTAACCATCATTGTGGGAACCGGCAAACGGGAGATTTCTTCCCCCGGCTTGCTGGCGCCTCTCTCGCCTTCTTCTCCTACAAAATGGACGACTTTGGTGGCCGAGATGACATTTATCACCGGAAAAGACTCCAAGCTTTATGCCGCAAAGTGGCCGGAAGCAATCTCCGAGAAACAAGAAATTCAGCAGTTTACTTTCGTCAAATGTCCTCGGACACCGGTGTCCCCAGGATGTCGCATGAAAGCAGATGCAAGGGCGTTCAAATCCAAACGCCCTTGCATCCCAAACATCCTTCGAGTCCCTTGGCTTTGAAGTTGTTCTTTTTCGTCATTTTTATCAAGTTATGTTCGTCTCTCAATGAAGGAAAATGTGATCAGATTTGGCATTCAGAGTGCAAGTGGCAGTAGTTACAATTTGATCCAATTTATAGTTCACAATGTCATGTTGATATCAGACTAGTCATGGAATGAACATGAATGTATGATTCAGGATTGGTATTCCACCACCATTGACCAAACTGGGTTTTTTAACTCACTGGGGATTCATATTGTAATTTTGATTGTTAGAAATCAAAATAAAATCCATATGATATGAATGATATCAATATTGTCATCCAATGTGTATTGTGATGTGACTCACCTTATGTCCAACGTCTCATTGTTCGTTCAAAAACACATAAGTACCTCAATAATTTATCGTGATGATGAAGACTTCCTCACATGTCTTTAACAATCATCAAGTCTGTATGTTGTAGACTAATAATCTAAATTGGTTGCTGAAATTGGTGAATGCTTCCTGAAACTAACAATCACAGCTTACTCCTCTTGCATGTTGAGTTAGATATATTAAAGGATGTCTTTTGTAATAATGTGACATTTTCAACCACACATATCAAGAGTCCAATATCATATATCAACACTACATAGCAAGTGACCATATTACCCAATCGGTAACAATCAACGATCGACTCATGCACTTAGAATTACCTTGAATACTCTGTTCCAGAATTTTGTGACAAATTCTGTAAGTTAGTTTGATAAATATAAACAAATGATGGTGTATTAATATTTAAAAAATGATCCATATATAGTTATAATGATTATCTCTCGTAGTTTAGGGTAGACAGTACTTTAGTTTGTAAATCTTGATTATTTTAGCCCTATGTGCAAAGAATCCATAATGAAAGAAAAAAAATTTAAACCTCCACACGTTTCCCAACTCGACTGATTTCACCCCTACCATGTATTTGACACAAGATAAGTTGACACCACAAATCATTATATATGGACAATGTAATGTAATTTGAAGACCGATAATGTGTCCAGAACTTGAAGAATCTTTAGTGCTCATGCTGAGATTATAGTGATCGTCTCTCGCCAACACTCCAACTGCTTGGACAATCTAAGCTATAAAACAAAATAAGGAAAGAAGGTTGTGAATCTCCAGTCAATCAAATTCTTCTATGAAATCATCTCCCTCGCTCTCTCGATCCGTGCTAAACATTCTCATAATCTTGGAATCAAAGGTTAACAACAAACTCAAAAGAGCATCCACTCTTAACCCTAGAAGTCTATGCTTCTAAATAACTCTTCTTCAATGACACCGTTGTATCAACTCAGCCCAAAAAGTCGCAACAAAAGCTTATCCAATCACAACATGATGATCATCCCCCAATGTTATGACGTAATGAGGTTCTCTTGAGAAAAAACTCGAATGATCTTGCTTATCCGCACAATCAACCTCAAAGTTGACAACACAATGACACAGCAAATATGAAACCATAATCATATAATATGCTGCGCGCAACAATATACCTTAAATAGATATATGTGAATCAGAAGACATAGCTCACAACAACATTTACATCAAAAAAACAAGGCAACTCTTGATCTTTGTTCGACGCAAGAATATTTTTAGCACACACGTTATCATATCTGGGTTACTCCTGCTCACCACCTCAGGAATGTCCCTCTCGTGATCGTATTTAGCCTTTTTTTTCAAGAAGATATTGATAGAAACTTCATAGGGTTTCTTTCAAAGCTGATTTCTACTTTTTTAAGGTCAAGAGTTTGCAATACTGACAAGTCTCTACCTTCTACGTTCGATCAGAGAAACTGGTATCCAGTTATGTGATTCCGGAGACTGTTAATAGGATGGGAGTGAGGAACAATACTAAATCTAGTGCTCGCTGTAGTTCGTGACAAGTGCACTACTTTTGCGCGGGAGTTATCGATGGGTAGACTCCACGGGAGACAGGTTTGTACACTCTGCAGTATAAACAGGTCTCTCCCAAGTTTGTAGGAGACCGATGGCTCCAGACCATGTGAAAATTAGTCTGAGATTATCATCAAGAATACCATTACAAAGGTGAGTTTTGACACATACATGTAAAACTCCAAGAAAGAGTGAGTTCAAGGCAAAGGACATCTTAGCACTTTCTAGACTGCTAGATACTTGACGTTAAATAATTGCACAAGAATCGACATGAATGACCATATTCAGCAGGACAATGGAATCTACAGCACAGACAGATCAGGCTTCCGATGCTCAACAGTGTCAAAATTGGTGTGCTTGTTGCAGTATCTTCTTCATTACTGTCCATTACGACTTATATAAATTCTCTCACTGACTATACAAACTGTCCTCATACTATCTACAAAAAGAGCTGATCAAAATGTACAATTTTCTTAACCTTCCGCCATGACTTTGGCAGCATCAATAAGAACAGCCCGAAGTTCGTCGTTGGCTCTACCCAGAACCGTGTATCCTTCCGTGTCCTCTATATCAAGATCTGCTCCATTTCTTAACAGAAGAAGTGCCACCTGTCAGTCACTCCCACAAACAAGAATCAGCACCATGTGCAAGGAGGGACACCTGAGTGAACGGAATCTATGCCTGAATCTCAACTGAATTCAGCATATACCTCCAAACAAATCTAATTTGATGCAGGCTGCATAAGCAGAGTGACAGGAAATTTAGCTCATCCGAACTTTACAACTCAAGTGAAAGATAATGGACTCTTGGTTTCCATAGCTTGAAGACAAGCTATGGAAATCTCCTGCTGGTTACATTGTCAGAAAGAACGACCTTGCATGTGTTGGTGGTTTCTCATCGACTAGCTAAGCGAGGGCTATTTGGATTATACTAGGTAAAAACTACGAAGAAGTTTGAGTCCTGTCTCTGCCAGTTGATAAATAAGGTGCAACTGTACTAATTGCAAATGTGAAGGTCTGGATCATTCATAGACAGCACAATAGACTCAACTGACCTGATCTCCAGCAGCTAAGCAATCTACTCGATATTAATCATTTCGACTACAGTTCAGACAAGGACGTAAACAGATTTTAAGGACCTGTATAGCGAATGAGCGATTCAGATTGTAATAAGGCAAACCTGGCGATTGTCACAGATAGTAGCCAGCGTGATAGGTGTTTGTCCATTTACGTCTGTTGCGTCTATATCTGCGCCCTCCTCGATCAACACCTCACACACCTGCGAATGTCCTGCGCTGGCCGCACGATGTAGTGGAGTGCAACCCACCTGCGAATATAGAAAGGAAAACCATTCAAATCCGTTGGTTTCTACAATGGACTTTTCCAAATCCGACAGTTTCCCCTGCGACTCGAAATGAAGGAGATGTAGAACCCATTCTCTCAAATGTAAATAAGAAATATAGCACACGGCGACATTTCTCATACAACCACACTGGCAATGAGACTAGTCTGGACGAGCCGTGGGAAAAGATTTAATAGAGATTACCTTGTCTTTCCGATTCAGCTTTGATCCCTTCGAAATTAGCATATTAGCTATATCGCTATGACCTTTACTCGCAGCATAGTGAAGAGCAGTTCGACCCCCGTTATTAGCCAAATTAACATCCGCTCCTGGGCATGAGATAACGACGCGAAGACGTTATTCAATCTCAAGAAGACTCCAGAAGATCATCTGTAAGGTGCATGAGTGATCAACAATCCGAAACGTCTTGTTTCATTCTCTTCACAGCTTGCAAGACATCAATTGCACAGCTTCACTTCCGGATTTTATACAGGGAACTACTTATATTCTTGGAGAATTTACGTCGCTAGTTTCAGCAGGAAATAGATCTCAACTCAGATACCTATGATTAACACAAATTGGGTCCAGGGCATATGAAGTGTAATTAAGCTCGCTGCTCTTAGCTGCTGTATGCTTGTTCACCTTTTGGCCCAACTTCAACGCTCTGGGAAGAACAAGACAAGGTAAAATGCTCAAACATACCTGATGCTAAGAGGACTTCGACAACAGCAGCCTTTCCTCCGCTAACGGCAGAGTGAAGTGGAGTCCAACCCTCATCGTCACCTGCGTTTATGCCACTTACTGCTGCATCCACACCATCGCTCAGCAGACTCACAACCTGGATTATCAACACATTCAATTCTCTTATTCCACATAAACGCACCAGGCAACGTTCATACAGCTGCTTTCAAGCTTTCTCTGAACTAAAATCCCTTTCTTTATCCATGAATGCCATTGAGGTGATAACAGCCTACATCGAAAGAAATAGAAGTCGTGTTTCTCTTTAGACTACAAGCTCTCGTTGTGGTAATTCTTTACTAGTGTGAAGCCTCGTTCAGACCATCTCTTCCGAACTCACAAAAAACTAAAATTCTCAGATATTTCCACCTATACACGTTCGTAGGTAGACTGCATACGGAAACAGGAACGGTAATCGAATGGGGAACTCAATTCACAGACTCGCACATCGATACAATCTCAAGCCTCAACTCCTCTAAGACGAAGAGTTCTACGCCGCAGTGAGTACGAAACTTTCCCCACAAAGCTTTCTCGTCAAATCTGGAAATGGTACACTTCTTACGATGATGAAAAATAGCTGAATGGGGTCTTCTTTCGAATACGGACATTTTAGGCTGATAGAGAATGACGAATGTGGATGATGGAGGTACATTTCAGTACCTGCGAGTGTCCGGCAGCAGCCGCTACGTGTAAAATGGATCGCCCGTCTTCATTTTTCAGAGTGAGCGCTTTCAGAATTTGCGGCTCCGACAGCGTATCAAAGAATGATCGATCGCCTTTCTCAGCTGCTGTCCAAATGGCCTCATCCTGGGGTTGTGCGAAGTGCGTTGGTACCGCGTCCGACATGGTAACATCTTGAGACTGAGAGGCTGATGACCCTTGCTGCGTGACAGACATGCTTTCCGAACCTGCTGCCATTCTCCCTACTCCTCTTCCTCTTCCTCTTCTCCTCCTTCGACTTCTTCTCGCTCAAGCCTCAAGCTCGTTCCTCGATCCTGACCTTCTTGCAAGTGCTCGGCGCTAACTTCGACTCCGATCCTCGTCACACCGATCACCCGTACGTGTCATCACAACCTAACCCTAACGGTCACAAGTTTGCGCACACTGATGCCATTTGTCCCCTCACACCAGAGCACAGGCACAGGCAGTGCCAATCAGCATGCCACCTCCTCTGTCTCGTCACCTCTCTCTCTCTCTCTGTCGCTTTGTCCGCCTCGCTGGTCAACGTACAGGATAGGAAGAAGATTATAATATCGGAGTTGTTGGAGTCCAACCCGAAGTTCCAAGTGTTCCTGGGGAAAACAGAGTAGGCGGTCAAAGGACAGAATGGAACGGAGTGGTAACGTGATTGAGGAGCCTCCGAGTGATGATTTTTGCACCTCGCCCCCGAAATATTGCATACTCTGACAATGGATTTCATTTGTGTCTACAAAGATAAAGACATGAGTGCCCAATGGGATATTGACTAATCACTCCACAGGTCCTTCGTGTAGTCTGTGAATGTTCCCACTGACTGCAGTTGGTCGCTCCGCCTCCTCTGTGCTCTGGGACTACTGTAAGAACGAGGCGGTTGGTATTTGCGAAAGTTGGTCGGTAATAGTGCGACCGAGGCACATAATTGTTCTTCTCCGTCGCATGATGCTGGGAAACGCCAACATTCTTCATTCAAGTTTTGAAATCACTTCTTCAGCCGCGGACATGCATTCCTTGGCATTGCTGCATTGAAATTTGGAATCTTTCCTGGCGTGATATACCTGGTTGCCTGTGATAGGATTCCTGTGAATGATGAAGGCGTGGATTCCTGGCGAAGATGGTCACACAAGTCCACAGGTGACGCAAGACTTGGCGTAGGCACTTGTCCGTTTCTCAGAGAAAATAGAGACAAGTCGCCGGCTACGTTGAATTTCTGGCAAGCCTCTTTGATGATGCGAGTCTTCCAGGCCTTCCTTGGCTCCTGGGAAGGATAGTATCTCTATCCCTATCCATGACAATCGCTCGACAGCTCGCGGGCCACAGCCCTCAATTACGTAAACGGTAAGTGGTAAATGGTACATTCTGGAGTTCAGAACGGCTCTACTTGCGGCTGTGGGACATCCACTCTCTGCAGATGAGATCGGGAGACATTGAGCGCGGAAAGCCAAGGTCTCCAATCACATCATATTCGCAGGCTTTACACAAGTTGCGGCCTCGACACTCCATGCATTCCCACCTCCTTCCCGCCAGCGAGTTCAGACAAGAAGAGGGCAGCTTTTCGTGCCACCTTGGGACTGCTGATGGTGGATGCTAGCTAAGGACGGAGAAAAAATCCCTCAGTGGTGAAGACACACAGGCGCCGAGTTTCAGCCGGGACGATGCAGCGTAGAAATAAGGAGAACGAACTTTGCGTGGTTGAAATGCAGAATCGAGTGCAAACCTGAAAAATGCATAAGAAAGAATGCTGATACCAAGAGAAGATCCAGGAAAAAATTAACAAGTTGAGATATGTACACCGATAATTTACTACTCAGAACAGCGATTGTCATTTGCAATCAGGTTAGAGGAAGGATCTAAGGTGCTCACATTGGATCACTTGCTCCTCACTGCGTAGCGGACAACACAAGAAGCTCAGGGACAAACAACAATCACAATCAGAAGCTGAGTCGCAAGAAGACGCTGCAGCGCTTAAACTCAAAGCGACCGCTGGATATTTCCTGAATGTGGATCTTTTTTAATTTGATCATCAAACAATATACAAAGTCACTCTGAGACAGAGAGACAAAGACCTCTGGCCCAGAGTATCAAGGCTTTGGAACAAGCGGGGCGCACATCAACTCTCGAGAGTGCCTCTGTTCGGACCCGGAAAGTGAAGGAACACATGTGAAATGAAAGACCTCCTCACTGACACTTCTTTCCGATTGGGAAACAAAAACTTTCTCGTGGAAGACCCCGGAACCCCGGCGAAAACGGCTAGGTAAAGTCGCCGTTCACCGAGTTGAACAGCTCCTTAGTCCAGGATACCTTTCAACCCAGTGCACCCAAATCAACACGCTCCCTGGTTTCCAGAGGAACTAATTTCGCAATTAACGATCAATGGTTCATCCACATGTACAATCATGCAGGAAAGAGGAGAGAGGGCTGGCTTCCCAATGTTGAGAGCGAGAGCGATTTCTAGCACTAAGGGAAATGTAATGATAATTCTGACTCATATGAACAAGGGCAGAGGAGAGGGGCAAAAGGTAGCGATATCCTGCGCAAATATCCTCAGAAGATGGCCGATTCTGCTTTCGGCATGTCCCCTCCAGGCCGGACGTAGGATCGCCGGGGATACAGGGACGTGGGAATGTCTAGAGAACTCTTTTGACCCCTCGGAGCTTCACGCAAAATGGACAGAAGCGCCGCAGCTTTCTCTCGAGCACGGGGTGTCCCCTCCGCTTCTAAGCGTTGGAGACCGTCCAATGCACCTGCTTGTGTGGCCTGCGTTCTGAACCGGAAGTTGTGTTGCGATAATTGCAGCAGTGCAGCGGCAGCGTGTTCTCGAACCTCCGGCCAGTTTACCTTGTGCTCTTCGCTCTTGTCAGCCCCACCACTGTCCTCATCCCCCTTCGTGAGTAGACTGACTAGCACAGGTACGGCGTCCTTCTCGGCTAGGGCGGCACGACCATCCTGCATCGCAGCGATGTTGCACAGGATGAGAAGGGCTCGGCTCACAACATCGCTCCTTTCGTCCCGAGCAATTCCTAGGAAGGTCCCCACTCCGCCAGCTTTGATCAACTTGCTACGGTTCATCTGCGAGAAGGATAAGTGGTACAGAGCCATTGCGGCGTCTCGTCGAGCAGCATGCTGGCTCGAACGCAGCAGATGAATGAGAGGAGGGATGGCTCCCAGGACTCCGATTGCCATTTTGTTCTCGTCGTTGAGAGCAAGACTGAAGATTGCTCCAGCTGCATGCTCTTGTGCATCCATGACACCGCTCTTCAGAACATCGACGAGGTAGGGGATAGCCCCGGCCCTCGCTACTTTCAATTTGTTGCCTTTCTCCAGCGAGAGATTCATTACAGCAGCCGCGGCGTTGATTTGCACCTGTGAGTAGCGCGACTGCAGAAGAGGTAGAAGGGCTTCGAGCACTGCCGGCTCGCACAACTCTATTCTGTTTTGAGCACCAATTCGAGAAAGACGACGAATTTCCATCGCCGCATCTTCTTGCTCCTTGACGTGCTTATGTTGCAACTTGCTAGCCAGACGCTGGATCATGTCGGCATTCAGGCTCCCTGCAGAACCAGTCGAAGGGCTGATTTCGGGGCTGAATGATACAGGCGTCCGCGTGAGTGCTAAAGGAACTGGACTCCTAGAGCTTTCGACGGATTCCGCCTTGCTGATCATGGGAGAAGCGGCGATAGTGACAGTGTGGGCATACCCGATGGAAGAAGAAGAAGAAGGGGAAGGTCGGTCGTCGCAGGGAAAACCATCATGACGACCACTTACGGTCGCGCTGTTATGGAGCTGCTCCAGAGAGTGCTTCAGATGCCCCTCGCTCCACGTATGCCTGGACTCAAACTGCCTATTCTGCGATATGTTCCCCACGTCGTCTTCAAGACTTGCGGAATTCCCAGACACGTTGTCGTGGACCTGCAGACCTCTAAGGTCATTTTCAGAGTGCGGCATTCTGGAATCCGATGTAGACGATTCGCCAGTGAAAGAGTCGGGAGTGTATGGTGCATCTGGGCCAAAAGACTCGGACGTTGAGGTGTCCAGTCGGCATACACGGTCTACGGCATTCTTCGCAACCTCAGGACTAGGGGGCGTGGGTCTAGAAACTCCATTGGAATCGCACCAGTGTTCGATGGCTGTCTTCAAAGATGTATTCTTAAGTACAGCATCCGAGTCGAGAGCAACCCCAGTTTTGAAGCACTGCCTGTGACCTAGCTCCAAATACCGCTTAATCACCATACGCTCATAAGAGATCCCAGATTCTATGATAACGGGTTCAGCCATGAGCGTGTCCAAGATTGGGCACTTGAACTCATCAGGGTAGTCAACCTTGGGATCCGGGTAAGAGCCGGAGTGCACCTCGCTCAGTGAAGAGGACCCATTTACAACGCTGCTTTGAGGGCTGGATTTGGACAAATTTCTTCGGTGACTGCCAGGAGGCGGACCAAACGCCTCGTCTCTCTGCGGGATACTGACTGGGCTGTGGGAGTGATTATTCTCCTTCTGTTCTTTGTTCGTAGACTTAGTGTGGAAGTATTTCGAAATATGTCCTCTTGCTCGCTGTCGGAATGAACGCTTCTCCTCCCCTCCTTCGACCCTTGGCATTGCCACCTCCAGAGGTCCGCCCATCACCGTATCCTTTTCGGCACACGTCGCTCCTTTCTCGTCTTGTCGATATTTCTTTCTTGTCCCAAAGATCTTCTCTTCTGGCTCCTGACCTAAGTACTTTCGTCCCTCTTCAAACGATATCTCCAACCGATTTCAATTGCATCCATACTGCCCGAGCTGGGTGAGATCAGCTCTTGACAAAATCTGCCCTCACACACCCGATTGAGAGAGGGGCAGACACAGCCCGTCAAGGCCTGAATCTTGTGACAGAACGTCGATACTAACCCGTCGCTCTCGTCCTGCCTTCGCTCGGTAGGAGAGGAAAGACACAACAATCCAAACTCGCATTCGCACGCCAAACCAAATCAACACACAAACCCCACGCCCCAATCCAGCACCACCTGCCCTCGAAAGAACGACCTGGTGGAATTCCAGAATGAATCGGGAGCCCAGGGACAGTACAGGTAAGAGCTTGCTGGCTCACGGGATGATGGATGCAAGCTGATGCCCGGGGCGGTGCTCCTGTCCGCAGCTGCTCATCTGAGAAACAATTCCTATACTGCTCCGCAATCCTTGAGATAAGGAGCGCCACTCCACAAGCCAAAGCGCGTGCGTGGCTATGAGATGTGCTGAGCTAACTCCGCAAGATGCGAGGCGGAGTTCACGTCCCCACAAAAGCGAGGGGAGGAATAATCCAGCTCTTGCCAAGCACAAGAACCCAGGACCCCGAGAATACCCCGGCCCCCGTTCCACCTAATAAAAGATCGACCTTTCTCTATAGATTTTCTCGGCCCCGCCCCCACGCCCTCGGGCCATAAATGCACTGGGGCCTCGCGCGGCTCGGGCTCCAGCACCTGACTCCAGAGCGAGCCTCGGCAAGGCACGCCATGGCTCGTCCTCGTCCAGCCAGACCGAAAGGGAGCTCAGGACGCGCCCGAGTGTGCCCAAAGTCCAAGCGCTACATTATTGGCCCCCGGCCCTCGCTTAAACCCTCCGAATGCAGACCACGCGACTACGACTACGACCTAATACGACCAGTCCAGCTGCTTCGCTGCTGCCCAAGCGCAACGGGATCGGCACGAATGCCGCGCCAGAAAGACCCGGGGTCCCGGACCCCGCGGTCAATCCGCCCTTCGACTCTCCAACTGGCTCCGACTTCCTCGCTTCCACCCCATATCGCTCCTCCGCACTGCCAATCGGCCCCCGCGCGCTTGCTTCCCGGCTGACCGGGTCGCCCCGCTGTAACCCGCAGACGGGCCGGGTCGGGCTCGGTCGAGGGCCGAGTGGATGAACGGAGGGGCCCGCCCTGTCAACGGGTCGGGATGTGGTCTCCACCTTCTGTGGAGTCTCCCCGACCCTCGGGAAGATCGTTTCTTGGTCCCGACGGCAAGCCGAGCACGCAGAGAGAACATTTAGAACCTTCTCCAGCTTCCAGTTCACGGAAAGGAAGTGAAATGAGGAAGAGAGGATGTGCCGCGTTCTTTCGCGGCCGTCTTTGCGAGTGCCGTCCGTCTTTTCACGGCCGACGGGATCATTCCTCCGTCGTTCGAGCGGGGGCGATCGTGTTCGGTAACATGGTCCGTCGTCCCGTCTCGCACGTTGTCGACACCCAGACAGGGTGAGACCCACAATGTCAGGGCTCGGCCAGTTCGATGGCACGGGTTTCTTAAGGATCTGGAGGCTTCTGAGTCGATAACGATAGCCCGAGCTAAATGACTTGTGGCTGACTGAGTCGGCGAGTCCAGGCTGGGAAGACGAGAGAAGGCCATCAAAGTCTCGACACGCATGGAGACAGCTGCGAGCGTATCTCCTCGGATGACGGCTTGTTTGTTGCCGTCAGGTCATACAAAGCATGGCAACAATAAAGCACCCTCTTACACGCATGCAACCATTAGCATGTACATCGCCTACGATATCCTAAATATCTAGCTCTGCATATGACAGTTGCGAAGGTAGTATCGATTTCTAATGCCCTTCGTTGTCTGCTAACTGCAATCTTCAGATGCATAAAACATGCTTTTCTAATATTTCATATACAATCAATGCAGTGAATGTGATGCTTTTGCACGTTACTATGGTGCATATCTGTCAAGGGTGGTGTACGTTTTTTTATAAATCAAAAAATTAGACCAAAAAACTATACTTGGACATTTTGGCGTTTCCACTTCATTCTCAAGACAGCTTGAATGACGGATAATCATCCATTGGAAACTTGATAGTGTTTCGGTAACTAGCCCTAATTACTAGTAATATTTATCTAAAGAATCAAGTAAATTGTTTTTACTAGCCACAATGGAGTTGAAGACATTAGTTGGATAGCTTCGTGATACCTATCAACCTTATGTCTTTCCAATATCAACCCTTTCTAGCCACAACCAAATACGTGAATACATCATCAATAGCTTTTCCTGGTTCTCCATATGGATGACAAGTGATCTAGATCTCAACTAAAATTAGATCCTCATACTGAACAGAAATTAGCTTAATCAAGAAATCATCCGTATGGTTGACTCATTGTTCACATTCAGGTTTTCTTGAGCAACACATCAATGAGACTTAGCAATATATGAAATGATTAGAACAATCACTCCATGATAGTAGATTGTAGATTCTATTTCAGATCGTTGACATTGATTAGAATCATGTTGATTTCAACTTTTTAACATAACGGCCAGACTCACAAACAATTAATACAGAGTATGTTAAAAATTGCGAATTGAAAAATGTTTATCTAAATCCATACGTCAAAGAACAAATCATGATGTATTGTTGTGAACTTGACTTTGCATGTTAAAACTGATATGATTAAACTACCAAACAAAATATAAACAGATGTTTTTCACGTTATACACTTATCTTTTTTATAAGGGAATATTCCCACCTTCTTTTAAAATATATATATATATATATATATATATTATCAATGACACAAAAAATAACACAATAACTTTAAATTTTTACAAAATGTTAAAATAATCAAATGAAAATAAATTCATATCATCAATAAATACATAAAGTACTAAAATTTGTTGTGTTTAAATTTATCATGTTAAATTGTAGAAAAATCTTTAAAATTTAATTATAAATAAAAAATGTGATAAATATTATAACTGCAAGATGTATAATATAAATTTGCAATTTTGATTTTATTCAAATCTGATTCTGACTATTCTAAGTCATGATACTTATATCACATGATCTTGATTTGGACATCAAAGTCTTGGCAATAAATTCTGGTTTATCTTATATTTTTTCCAAGTGACTAGTTTAGTCTGTCATCAATTTTGTATTTGCTATTAACTATTCTAATTATTTTTTATTTTTCCAATTTGATAACCAAAACAAATTTTGAATGATGAAAAATATAGAAAAAATAATTTTAATCAGGAAATTCATTAGAAATTGAGCACATCATTATTTTCTGTTCAATTTATGCACACAAATGAATACAATGCATGCTGCCACACTTATATTGCGCTTTAGAAAAAAATATTTGAATATTTTTATATCACATCAGTAATTCTCAATTTGTATCACTTAAACATCTATCTGACTCTTTAATCTAAGATCTTTCATTGACTGAATTTTATTTTTTATTAGAAATTAAAAATTTGATGATGATTTAATTAATTACTAATTTACATTACAGGTTATTATAGATAGAAAGATCAGAAAACACATAATAATAATACATCTACATACATACATATTTATATTATATATGGTAATTTTAGAGTTTAGTGTTATATATAAACATAGATAAATAAGTTTAACAGATTGCGATAATTTATTTTTATCAAATGTAAGATTTAATTTTTATAAACAACTTATACAGTAATTTTAAGTGAAATGTTTATTTTTTCTAGTAAAAAATATTTATAAATATCAAATCCTAATTTATTTATGATCTTTGAATTCATTATATATTGGGTGTATGATTTCCTATTTGAAATGTATTAGGACTTCATTTAATAGTAAGAGGTTTTTATTTATAAAAAAATTTTATGACAATAAGTTTTATGATTTTCTTAATCATAAAACAAATAAATATATATATCACACTTGCATTAACAAATTGATTTTCTTCACCCATGTACAACATCGCTAAATTTGTAATGAGCACAATATATACCAACGGTTAATGTATTTACAATTTATTCATCCTCATGCCATCTTGCAAACAATACATAATTTACATTGTGTTTTTGTTTTCTGTGCATTTAATGTAAAGCGAGTGCCGTGAGTATATATCAAATCATATATATCTATATTCACTTCCAACGCGTAAATTCAACAAAGCTTAAACAAGAAAGTTTTGATGCCAAAATTGAAGGGCTTGGATACTTTTAGCGAGAGAATTACTTGATGGTACCTGTCCTAATGCGCAAGTCTTGATGGGATCCAATACTTTCTATTTTACCTGATGTACCCTTCCAACGGCAATTCAGTACACCGTCACCGACGTTCTACTACGAGTTCTTGTAACTACTTTGAGTCAAGGTTACCACTAAGGCTCTTTGTTAAAAAGTGACTTCTCCCCTCAGGCATTTCACGGACCAAAATACGTGACTTCGGCCAAGGTTTTTAGAAAAAAAATATAAAGAGTAAGTAGATTACGTCCATACATTATAACTTTAAAATAAGTCGGGACGGGAGAAATTGGGCTATTGCATGATGAAGATTGGGAGCCATGGAAAATTTGACTAAGTTAACTTCGGGAAGAATTTTTTTTGTTTGCATTGGAGTGGGAACAAAGCAGTTACAAGAATATAAACGACGGTGATCTATGGTAGGGTACATTTTGGCTAAAATGGAAAGTATTGGATCCCATCAAGCATTCAACGTTCTGATGGGGTCCGATCAAGTAAATTTCTCTCGTTATAGCACTAAGACCATAAAGACATCAAATTAGTATATAAATGACCAAATACATAATAGTTAATGTATAGCATGCAGAGTCCTACAACGCCTTCAGCATGATTACCCACGCCCACCCTCGCTTCGCGCGCGTGGGCCTTGCCCACCCACGTAAACTCAGTCTGCCCATGCCCACCATTTACCCACGTGCGTTTCGGGTGTACCCATCCGAAGCTAGCGCCGTACCCATCGGTACCCATTGTGTACTCTACTTGTTTGTGAAGACATCGACGTAGTGTACGTTTATTTCTTACACAAGTCGCGGTTGGAGCGCACAAACATGAGGTCGTTGACAACGCGCGGCTTGAGTCGGTTGCGCTTTTTTGTGAACGTATTGCCAGCGTCCGAGAAATTGTTCTCAGACATCGCGCTGGACGCAGGAACACACAAGATGGAACGCGCGACGCAAGTCATGATCGGGAAGAGCTTGGCGCCGGTCGTCTCCCACTAAGCTAAGACATTGAACTCGCCGCCGACCTCCGAATCACGCTTCTCCTTGTCGCTGACCGTGTGCTGGTTGTAGTACTTGAACTCAATATCGATGCGATTGCTGAAATTGCTGTTGGCCCGATCGTTGGACCTCTCATCTTCGTCCTCCTCCATGTCGTACATGAAATGGCCGTTGCCAACACGCGCCTTCTTGCTGACAGGCGGTGCGACAGCTGCATCAACTTCGGTGTCAAGTTGATGACCATATTTGGCCATGTCGCACTTTAGCTGCATCTTTATAACTTCGACCTGGTGCGAAGGGACGCCCATACCAAGAAGACGGCGCTTGAGCATTGGGCACATGAACGCCGCCTTGACATTCACATCCCGGACGACGAATTTTTCAATGAAGATGGGCATCAAAACGCCCTTGGCGGCGATGAGAGATGCGCTATCCGCCTTCTTGACGAGATTGCCCCCGTCATCTAAGACGTCGTGCATAACTGGCATCAGATGCTGCGTCAGTCGATGTCGCCAATAAACGACTTTGTGCAGCGTCGGCGACTTGAACTGTTCAAGCGACAACGTCGCCAATTGGAACACGTCGAGGAAACCGACGATCTCCGCGAGCAGGTCCTGCGAAAAGTTGAACAAGTCGAGCTTGTTCCTCTTCTTGAGCAATTCGATAACCTCGTCGGTCATATCGTGGACGCTTTTAAGGCAGCATAGCAACGAATTCCAACGTGTGGTATTCTCCTGCTTTAATGTCTTACTCAGCATGCATTGCAGGTTGGTGCGTTTAAAATACTCAACGAGTTTCTTATTTGCATCGAACATGTTGAAGAGCACGGCCAAGTCCGCGTGCTGTTCATTGTTGTATTTGTAGAACGGAGCACTTTTCACTCCGTTAGTCATCGTTGTAGTCGTGTTAAAGACGGTAGTTAGCACGGTTGCCAGTTTGTGGTCCAGGCAAGCAAGCCACGCAAACTCGGATGGGATTCCTTCGGCGCCGCGGCAGTTAGAACCGCTGTCCGAGACGACAATGATTTGGTCGTAGAATGCCTGCCCAATCCCCAAGACAGCGAGACCGGACTTGAGCTCGTTCTTGACGACGACGGCGGTGTGACTCGCATCGAACATCGGCTTGACGTGCAGCGTGCAGAACCATGTCCGCGTCGACATAATGCGCAGTAATGGACAGGTACGGCGTCTTCTTGACGGTGTCTGTCCACATGTCAATCGTAGTCGCAAAGCCGACACCAGATACCAAATGATCTTGAAGGATTATGGACAACGCTTCACGTCCGCTCACTGCTCGTGCCTCGACATTTTGACGCACTGTCAAGGGACAAGGCAGCAGGTCGTTGACGTCAACGCGGCCGTTTGACGCGGCGCCGATGTCAAGTGCTGCTTGAATGACCGCTTTGAAGCCGACGCCGCTGACTGACTCGAAAGCACGCATGTCTGACGCGCAGTAGTCGACGGCGGCGGCTGTCATTTTTGCCTTTTGCTGCGTTGAGACTTTGTGGACCTTGAAGATGTGGTTGCCGACGCCAGGCGGGTTCAGGGGACACTTGTGTTTGCCTATGGTGCTTGTTCCAGTGCTGTGGGTGCCCTTGCCGCCCGTCTTGAAAACGAATGTCTTGCTGCACGTCTTGCAGGCAGCGAAGTCCGTCTTCGCACCCGTGGCTGTCTCGTACACGATGCCGAATGATTTCCATATGACCGATGGGCCAGCATGATTGCGAATTTCGTAGTTGCGCGGCTCCACTCGGCTTCGCAGCGACCGCTCCACCTTGTTCTGAGCAAGCGGCACAATGGCGTTCCGAACAGGTGCTACCGCTGTTTCATGCTCGCAATCCCCAACTGTTTCATGAGAAAGCGGCATATTTGACCGCTGTCTAAAATCTGAATCTGGATTACTCTAATGTGGTGGGGGAGGGGGGGAAGCAACAACAATAGAAAGGGGAAAAATAGGGGGGGAGTACAAAAGAAGGGGGGCAAACAAACAGAAGGGACAAGCTGGCTGGGGTGTATTTGCTCATCAGCTCACGTCTCAAATAACTCAGGTGCAGAGTCCCTCATTGGGTAAATGGGTATCCATATCCATGCCCACCCACTGTCTGCCCACGTCTACCCATAGGGTGGGCTTCGCCCACCCATGTCCACCCACGCATCTAGCTTGTTGGCTTCGCCCACCCATGGTTGATTGGCGTACCCATGCCCACCCATTACCCACCATGGGTGGAGTGGGCAGTGGGTGGGCATGGGTATGGGTACTCACTGAGGTACTCCGATAGCATGTTAAAAATGGTGCGACATTAAAATAGATTGGAGATGTTTTATTCAATCAATGGAAAAGAATCAAAACTTCTATTAGAAATTTGAGAAAATTTTTAATAGAAAAATCTAATATTGTATGTTAGAAACAAGCCTGAAAAAAGCGTCCACGTGGCAAATTTGCTACATGTATTCTTCATAGATTATGAAACCATTCCTATGTAAAAACAACAAAGATTTCAGTAATCTAATGGATTATAATAAATCAATTCTCACATATTTCAAGGTCTTTAATTTGATAATATGACATAACACTCACTTGACGTGCATGAGGTCTTCAGGTTTGATAAGAATGTAACTGAAGTAAAAAACTTCGGAAGAAAGGAGATGAGCAGTCTAGCAATATCTGCAGCGAAACATGCAGATTTGTTAGTAGAGGAAGGTGGAATTGGCAAATGTAACAACTAAGTAGGCAGACAAATCCGATTATTACGATTGATAATCCTAAAAAGTATTGATTTGTTTGTGGATGTCACATAGCCTTTTGGGAGCAATGAAGAAAAATTGTTCGGAGCCAACCACAACCTGCATTCTGACATCTCGAATTTGAATAGTATTTACACTAAAATTAAAATAAATGAAATGAACTAGATAAAGGTAAAAGTGTCTCCACCCACTTCTCTAGCTCTAGATCCACGACGATCTTTCACAACAGCGCTACAAAGGACTTAATTTGTAGCAAAGGTGTCGTCAGCAATCTTGCAGGTAGTACTGTTCAGTGACCAGTGACAGAGGAAGCGTCCCAACGCTCGGACCTGGTGCATAGTCCCTGTTGAATTGCGCAGGATTTGAAATGATGCCGTGGATCGTCCGTATGGGAGGACAATCACCTTCTTTAATGCGTTCGACGGATTTGATTCAGCTAAAATTTCAGTAGTGAACGGGATCTGCAGACAGAAACTTCGTTGGAAAAAATGTGCGATGAGACGGTGGAATTCTCGTATCTCGCATCCATGTTGGATGCTGTGGTTCGGGCGAAGAAGGGTCCACTGAAACGGAAGCATGTGCGCACCTTTCTCGATCATGTGTACACAGACCACGAGTTTTTCAGTGCGATGCGACTGATGCTGCCCAATTTGGATAAAGAGCGCGGCAATTATGGTTTGAAAGAGGCCGTGCTAGCCAAGAGTCTAGCAGAGGCGTTGTGCTTGTCTAAAGATTCCGAGGACGCTCAGAAGCTTTTGAATTGGAGGAAAGGAGGTACTCGTGCTGGCAGCAATGCAGGGAATTTTTCGTTTGTTGCCACGGAGGTATCTCTCTCTTAGTTCTCAATTTGTTCTAAATATCTGCAGTTCAAGGATGAAATCGCAATCTCTCAAAAAAAGACACGGGCCATCTGCAAATACGGAATTTCAATAAGAATACGATTCTGCATATGAACTTGCAACTCTTCCAGGTTTGCAGGATGATGCAATAAGACTCATATAGACTAGAATTCCTGTCAAGGGTCTGAGTAACTTTCGTTACAGTTTCTCTTTCATCATTTGGAGTCCACCATAAGATCCATTCTCGGCACAAGTTAAGTAAGCTCGATACAAGGCGAGTGACTCAAGCTCGTGGATAATTATTTACACACTCTCACTTTATCGCATAATTGGTATACACAACGTTTTATCCCTGGGAGGTACTTTGTTGTAAAGTGAACTTGCAGGATACTTTTCCTAGGCATTTGAGCACATGCATTGGCTTGTGTTTATGCCTAGAAGTTTGGTAGTCCTTGAGAATGCAGCCCGCAAAAAAAGAAAGTCCAGGAATTTGAGCTAGACTTTCCACAGATGGATTCTCCATCTGCTTGAAATATCTCAGTGCCCCAGAAATCAGTGTTTCAGAAATTAATGAAAGGATAAACAGTGAACGCATACTCCAAGACCTGCACATTCTAAATTTTGTCTGAGACTAAACTGGGGTTAAATGGGCATAACCGTGTGTATGAGTAGCATACTCAAATTCTTAGATTATATGCTTTGACGTTCTAAGTAATGCAAGCCTGCAACTTGCCTTGTAACTTGCCGACATGATGTAACTGGTGAATCTGGTTTGCTATCATCTCATGACCAAACTCTTCACTAAACTTCAACGCAGATTCTTTGTCGTCGACAACGAGTTACATCTACTGGAATCAAAATAAAAGAAGTCAACGATCTCCTAGATCGGTTGGCAGCAGCAGATCGAAGGTGAGCTGATTTACTAAGTTGGATATATCCGACTTTGTTGCCATACTTTGTTGTTGAGATGGTCGAATAAGCTCATGGATATGATTTTATATAGTCTAAACTGAAGTAGCCGAACTCCCGTGTACTTCAATGAGCAAAGGCTGATCGAGGGATCTCCTGTGCGTCCTCCATCCACTTATTGACTCTTCTGTTGCTGGCAAGAGAGGAGAAGGTTGCAGTTCTCGGAGAAATGATCAACAAGACAAATGCTCAAGAGATGCGTTGGATCATCATGATCATTCTGAAAGGTGATGCCCGTTCTTTCGATTCTTTTTGAACAGTATGCTGCTCATAGGAGTGCTAGCAAATAAATATAATCAATTGACGAAAGCACATGTAGCCCAGGATAAAACCTCTCAACGAACCCAGTTATTAAGCTCGGTCGATGTCTTCTAAAATGAAATAAACATCCTGAGAGTCTACAGCCTATGCTGTAGTGGACAGGTAAGCTACAAGTTTCAGGCTAAAGCATAAGGTATTTTATTGAAGTGAATGTCTGGGCTCATCTTGGGACTTGGGTGGTTTTGTACTTTAAATCACAGCGTAGAAGCTAAGTTTGCTATGTTGAAAGTAGATCAAGCGGTTTTTTTTTGAAATTCTGGTGTAGTAAATACAGTGCTCTTTGTCTTGCCAACAAATCCCTGAATTCATACTTGCATACAATTTGATAGCAAGTCCGACATCCCCTGTAGACTTATATATTAGTCGTCCCTACGAGTCCTCACTGAAGCAGACGTTGTGGACTAATCCCAGACTTGAAGCTTGGAATTAGTGAGAAGACTTTCTTCAGTGAGTTTCATCCCGATGCCGAAGATCTTTTCAATGTCACTTGTGACTTAAAGCTGGTGTGTGACAAACTGCGCAATCGTAATGAGCGATATGACAGACAGGTAACCTGTTTCTCAACCATAGAATGTACGATGTGAGCAGAACTTTTTAATATCGACTGACTCTCTTTGTTCTCAATGTTTTCTATTCATCTTCTTGAGTTGATTCTCACCTTTTCTTTACATCTACCCTTGTCGAATGAGGCAAGCAAATTTTTCTTCGTACCTCTAATGGGTGGTATTTGACATCGTCAGGATCAGTGGTCAAAGGTCTTGATTTAATTTTCACTCTCTAAAGTGTACATCTCCTGATAAGTCTTACAATTGCTCACTACGAGGGCTTAGATTCGCAAAATGTTTTCAGAGTAAAACACAATTGTTTAAAGGCTAGTCTTAACCTGCGTTCAACTTTTGCAGGATATAGAGGTGGGCAAAGCTGTGAGACCACAACTTGCAGCTAGGGTTGCAAACGTAGAAGAAGCGTGGAAGAAGGTAGGTTCATCGCGTAAACGTTAAGTTTCCTTCCAGTTACTTACCGGGTTGTATTGTGGTGCTTGTAATACCTACACGGATTTTCCAAAGGCGAGGTCTTTCAAGTCTATTATTCAGCAGATTTCTGTCATGCAGCTGCTGAAAGCATATGCATATGCTCATTCTTTGAATGATATAATCTCTCTCCAGTTCAGTGTTCGTAATTTTACATCCTTGTAAACAACATCATCATAATTTCGAGTGCCTTCTTATAGTACATAAATGGCTCGCAGTTTCGCGGTAAGCAGGTTATAGTGGAGTGCAAGTTTGATGGTGATCGTATTCAAATCCACAAAAATGGCTCCAGCGTTAACTTCTTTTCCAGGTTCACACGTCAGGATTCTTACAAACTCTACTGGTCTACTTTCAGGGTTTCATCGCCATAACTATTTGGAAGTTTGATGACATTTGATTTCTTCGCTGTTTTTGCTTGAAGACGTCTGAGGCACTGCGTAAAACATCAAATCTCTTTTCAGTGTTGTCTTTATATATCTCCGCTTTCTTCCTGAAGTATCTTTTGAAATGTCTCTGTGATTTAGGAATTTCATTGATCATCAAGAATTCAAAGAAGGTGTGGCTAACCTGATAATTCAGAATGTTCTCCCTGACAAGTATGTTTTTGGTCGACAATCAAAACACACCCTTTATTGTTATCAGGCAGATAGACTTGTGCTCTTCGCCGGCTTGCTTATATGATGAGGTTTTCAATATCTATTGCAACGTCAATCGCCCATCCTGGACAATTATTGTCCCAGATTGTCATGGTTGTCAATTGATATCATCAAGCAGATGCATACTGGATGGAGAAATGTTGGTTTGGGATCGATCTACCAAGCGATTTGCAGATTTTGGGACAAATCGCGAGGCAGGTAATTATTGATAGTCGTGCGGAAAGCGTGTGCATGATCTTTTTCATTCAATCGATATTGTTTTGCACCCATACTACTTCATCATGTGCTTGAATTTTATCTGCAGAATACGTTTTCTTTTTCGAGAGTTAAGTGGTATCGCCATTGGTCGCTAAGTTCCTGATTCTGATTTTGCAGCCAAAGCAGCGAAAGACGGTCTAGATACGAGCCAGCAGGTATCATAAATTCTTAGAAAATTGCCCTTTTGACATCCATTGTGCAAACTTCGCATATACTTGAGGTCATGATTATCAAGTGTCAGTATCAATGTTTGATAGTAGTAATGTCTTGCAAAGTCCATCTCCCACAATCAATGTCATTAAGAAATTACGTAGAGTTAACCCTCTCGTTGCGTTTTTATTGTTGTCTTGCAGTTATGCTGTATCCTCCTCCAATTGTAACCAGTAACCACATCAGAAGTTTCTTGGAGATGTGATATATTCCTGTCATAACATTTATCTTCAAGATTTGTCATATGAATGACTTCGAGGTCAAGTTGCACGGATGCATTATATCTGCACCAAAGGTATCAGTGATAAGGCGCGCCTTCTGAAGTGTCCTTAACATAACGATGAAGATGTGGCATTTGATGTCTTATATCATGGCAATAGCAGTGTGATTCATCTCCCATTAAGAGAACGGCAACAGCTTTTAGAGAAGTCTATAAAACCTCTCCAAGGTCGTTTGGAGTTGCTTCTACCCAGCGCGAGTGCACAGCCAAGCACAGGTACCACACTTGAATTGGATCCCCGATGCACTTCCATGCTAATAGAAGCTTGAGTCTAATGAACTACTCATTTTTTCACAGGAGAATCCAAGTGGTCTTTTATAGCAAGTCGAGCAGAAGACGTGGAACAGTTCTTTCAACAAACTGTGGAAAACAGGTAAATATATCATTATCAACGTGTAAGTCAGACAGATGATTTGAAAGTTGCTCTTGATGCAACCGTAAACTAACTGCGTTCAGTGCTTGCAGTCAGCATTATGTGGATTCTTTCAATGTGGAGTAGTTGTGTGTAGTATGTTCACACAAATTATTAACAGAAGATTTTTGGTACTAAATTTATGCGAAGGCTCTCTATGTTCCTGCAGAGAAGAGGGAATCATTTTAAAGGATCTGGACTCGAAGTGGGAGCCTACAGATCGTAGTGGAAAATGGCTCAAGCTTAAACCTGATTATGTCCAAACTGGTTCCGATCTTGACGTTTTGATCATCGGTATCTTCACCTCTGAAACTGCTCTCCCCCCAACCTCCTCCTTTTACTTAAATCTCATTAACAAAAGTTCAGATAATGAGAGGTCACGGAGAAAGTATTTTTCTACACTGGGTAGCTGCTGTTCTACAAAGTCTGTGACCCATGTGAGAATCCGGGAACCTTGGATCAAGGTCTAGTTATAGCGCAGAGCCAGCGCGTCCCTTGCAAGTGCACCTCCTTGGCCCGTGAATATGTTTCTTGTAACTGATGGAGTTGAGCTCTTGGAGTCGAATATCTGAATAACTGAATCACATTGGTATGACCCTGTCTCTTTTAACTTCGTGCTTGCGCTTTTTAGGTGGTTACTATGGGTCTGGACGACGGGGAGGTCAGGTATATTTTGTGAACTATGATTAGATCTTATTCTGCTCGTATTCATCTAACCTATCTTCGTGAAAACGTCTCATCACAATGGTGTACAACCATATGATGAAACGGATACACTTTTGAAGGTGCTTCTATGCATTTGCCGACAATTTTGTGTCTGAAGTTTGGAATATGAGAAACTCAATAGCATAAGTACTTGTTTAGTGCTGATTTTTACCCCTGGATCTTGGAAATTTCAGGTAGCACAGTTCCTGCTTGGACTTGCCGAACCCCCAAAGCCCGGTCAGTATCCAACCAGGTGAGAGAGAAGTTCTGGAATTGAACTTCGGAGCTCTGTCTTGGACATCTTCAGGAGTTTATTCCACACGCTTCTAACACAGTTGCCTCTGCTTCTAGGTTTTTTTCCTTCTGCAAAGTGGGAACGGGGCTCACAGATGAAGAGAGTGACCATCTTGTTCAGAGGCTGAAACCTTACTTCAGGTTTTTGTACCAATCTTGCTATGACTACTTCGAATTTAATGATTTGTATGAAGGCTGGAGAGCTACAAACCAGCTCCAGAACTATTTGTGTTAGTTGCAGTCGTTGTCACGAGAAGTCTCTCCGTTGAGTCAAAAACCTGGCCAAAAGCTTTGGAAGAAACACTCAGTGATCAATCTTGTTTTTGGAAGTTTTTCAAGGAAAGTCATGATTGTAAGCCGCTTGCATCTCGCCCGAACAGATCTTTAAATCATAGCTTTTTTTCTTTTATTTCGCAAGGCGCAATGAGAAAAATAGCAAGACTCCAAGCTGTTACATAGTCACAAACAATGCTAAGGAGCGGCCTGACGTCTGGATCGACCAACCGGACAAGTATGTGTTGCTACCACAAGGCCAGTTATTTGTTTGGGTAACAGTTATCTGCTTCTTGTTGTAACGCAAGAGAAGCACTCACTCACTCGGTGAAGCAACATGATAGATAAGAGTGATTTGATTCAGGAACAATTTCTTGAAGACCTCTCCCTGTAATCATGTGCCCATTTCAGGTCTGTTATCATGGAAATTACGAGTGATATCCGTACAATCAAAACCGAGGTAACGTTTGCCGTTCAATCATCTGTTGATTCTATCCAGGTTAAGTTTCACTTGAGAGTCATCCCTCTCGGTAACAAGCCCTCGAGCTTTATACCTCTTCCTGCCATGCTGCATCTGTAGCGGGCGAGTTATTGATTGCTAAGCTACTTCAATCATACAATCTACAGGTTTTTGCTGCTCCATATGGTTTGCGATTCCCTCGTGTGAACAGAGTACGATATGAAAAGCCTTGGTATGATTGTCTTGACGTGCAGGGTAAGTTTCTCAATTTCGTTTACGCTAACCTTGCAGTTGTGAAGTACTGCTTACAAAATCTGTCCTTAAGCTATCAGCCCTGGTTGTCATGATGCTCAGGAAGTGAGTTCAAGCGGTGGCAATAGAGACTGCGCTTTACAGTATTTTAGGACTTGCTTACCCAACCTAATTCTAAATTATCTTTCTATCAAAAAGGAACGACAGCAGTTACTGTCGTTGACGTCTGACCATGAGTCTTATGACGTTCGCCGTACTGCTGTGCAGCTCTGGTGGATATGGTCAACTCTCGCAGCGGAAGTACAGTGGATGCAAAGCAATCCGAAGGAAAAGAAAATAAAGTAAAACAAAGCAAACGGCAAAAAAAGACAGAAGTTCGGTTCATGTCATTAGTGCCATCCCATATGCGCGTGACGGACGTATCTCATGTAAAACGTGCAACAAAGATATTTGACGGACTCGTCTTCTGTATCCTCTTTGTGTTGGTTGAAGTCTGCATGCCATTATCAGCATAGCTTGCGTCTTTCACCCTCTCTTTCTTATTCTGAAAAGAGAAGCGATTGTGTTTCATTGCCAACGTTTGGTAGTGTAATGAGCCAGGAAAAAATCTATGGAGTTCTGAATAAAGACGACGCTATGCTTCTTCCTTATCACCTCCTTTTCAGATTTTGCGAATTTCTCAGAGGACTATGCGAAGGAAAGTCTCCACAAGTTGGTTGTGGAAAATGGGGGTTCGTTTTCCATGAATTTGAATAATGAGGTTACACATGCCCTCGCATGTGAAAAGAAAGGTTCGATCCTTGGTAATCTGTTTAGAGTGCTCAAATTCAAATGTCAGATTCTGTGAAGTTCAGAAAGTTGATCATATCAGTACAAAGTTACCGAGCTTAAGATGAGATTTTGTGCTTGCCATAGACTTAAAACAGGAGAGTAGGGCGAGGACTTCAACTGCATTGTTTTGTGTTGACAAGCGCCTTAACTATTTTCCAGGAATTAAGTACATGGCAGCTGCAACCCACGGAGATGTTATACACTATTCATGGGTTATGGATTGCTGCACCGCCAAGGATCTGCTGCCAGTCAGACCCAAGTGTGCTACTCTTCCTGGGATTTTCAAATCTTTTTGAGCTCTTGTTATATCACTGAACTGGCGCTGACACGCATAGTTCCTTCGGTTTTCAATCCTTTTGTTCAGTTGTCCAAATTACCCTACATGTGCCGAAACCACAGCAGAACGAGTGAACTGACTCCTCTGCTGATGTGATAGGTACTTTCTTCACCTTTCAGCACAAACAAAGAACAAGATGAAAGCTGAAATCGACGACTACGGCGATTACTATTTTTTGGACAATGATACAAATGATCTGAAACAGGTGATTTTTTGAAAACGCTTGACCCTTGTCGCTTTGATGTTAGGAGGTAAAGTTGTCGGCTCACGTCGTATTGCTAGTCTTTTTTGAAGTATTAGGGAACCCGCAATTCTCATGAGTGTATTGACAGGAAGAAGTCAACACACACTTAATCTCCATGAAAGTATGGAGATCAACACGTGGAAGTGCCAAGACTGTTTAGATGATTCTATTCGCTGGTATTTCTAATGAAAAGGATGTGTGTAGGAAACTGTCACCAAGTTACGGTTTCATGTCTCTCTTGCTTAACTTAATCTAACAGATGTGTTATGTCAGTGAAATAACTTCTAGAAGTTTTTAGTTTTTCCCGTAAGAACTTGTTTTTTGTAGCAGCTTTTTGAAAATATGGAACCTTCAAAATTGGCAACCGACAAGGAGGAGCTTGCACATTACAAGAAAAAGTACTGTCCGAGTTCGACGTTTTGTCAGTTTAGCAATTGCAGTTTCTATTTTCACAAGCCCATCCACTCCAGGTACTGCTCTCCAACAAAATTATTTTACTGACAGGATACATGAGTCTTGTTGTCCTTATAGATTTGTCTTAGGAATGTGGAAGTGAAAGAATTCCTTCTGCCTTTAGTGGATACTGTAAATAAATTTTCCTATGGTAAAATTGTGTATACTGATTATGGAACCATCTGCAGAAATGTCGATTCGCAATTGGTCGCAGAGACAGCTCTAATGAGGCAAAGATTGGAAGTTAGCATGCACGCAGGAAAGGTCATTGAGACATTAACGAGTGATGTGACGCATATGATCATATACACGTCTCCCAACGATTCGCTTCCTTTCAGCACCATATTCAAAAGGCAAAATTTTCCGCCCAATTGTATTTTAGTTATAGGGTCGACTTGAACCTTATGAATCAAGTAAATTGTAATTCAAATTCTGGTGCTAAGTACTGTGACGAGCTAAGTTGTTGTTAGATGTGTTACAGCTGTAGCTTGTATTGTGAAATGTTGTGTAGAGAGCACACGTTGTTGGTAAAGACCTTGCAACGAACGCCACCGTGAACCTTGCGTCCAAGCTTGCTTTTTATCTGTAAGAGCTCATTATAGTCAGTATAACAGAGCAGATAACTGGTTTCTCGTTTTCTGACCTGCTTACTTTCTATTGCAATTTATATATTACAGCATTCCTTTTAGTGCCAGGAGGTTGCTGATGTCACACAAGCTCAAAATTATGAGTCATCAGTGGATTGATGATCACGAGCTGGGCACATGTGGACATCCTCCAGAGGCCACATACAATCTCAGGTTTCAACTTTTAGTTGCTTCCAGTGATTTTATTTTTTCGTTCGCTCCACAAAATAAGTGTGTTTTATACTCGTGTTGGTAAATGTTTCAAATGAGGAATTTGAAAGAGCAGCAAGGCACCCTCATTCACGATTATTTAGTCTGCTCACAAAACAAGCAACTGAAGTGATCACCTTAAGCGTTTTTCGTGGTTTGATTAATCCAGGGATGCGTCATTCCAGTACAACGAGCATGAGATGGAAGTCATTCAACCCATGCAGCTGAGCGGGAATGAAGTCAATGGACGTGCAACGAGAGAGGATGTAAAAGAAGCCGAGGCGATGGAGGTTGGTCTGGGTACATTGGCAGACCAGGTGGTCCGTCGGAATAGATTGGTGACACTTCAAAAAGCTCCAAGATCATCAAAGAGGAGAAGTTCAAGTCAGTTGGCTAACGAGAAGAAAGCCACAGAAGACAAAGAACAAGACAGAGCAGCAAAACGCATGTGTAGTAAAAGCGAGCAAGTTAGAGAAGAGCTCTTGAGTAGTGGTTCTGATGCAGCTGAACTCGTCGCGGAAAGACAAGAGGCAGCCGACAGGAACGGGACTAGCATCTTGGAAGATCATTTAAGAATTCGGCCAGGTACATCAAGATCAATTGAAGAAGATAGCGTTGATGAGAAAGCTGTTAATGATGTACTTGAGGATTTGATTCCTACATTAAAATTCAGCCAGCAACAGCCGCCGTCGCAAATATGCAGCGCTCAAGTAACACTAGCTACTGCTGACCCTAGGCTCGTCATTAATCCACCACCAGAGTCGCCTTCAGAATACTCAAAACTTACTCTCAAAGCTCTTGCCGATCCCATTTCGAGTATGCCAGATCCTGCCACCGAGCATATTCTGCCCAAACCAACTACTAAGAAAAAGGTCAGCTACAAAAATATAGTAAGCAATCTGTTAAATAATCCTCCTTGAAGTAGTCATTTTAGAAAAGACATTCTAGGGATTTCTTTCAGAGCTCAAGATCTGTTCACATGTATATCGAGTTTTATAAGGGTGGCTCCCGTGAAAATTTCAATGCTCTCAGTAACGGTAAGATCATCTGTATTTCTCTTAAAAAATTCGTATCAGTACAAAGTTAAGGTGGCTGAGAGAGGTAATTCACATCGTCTGAACTCTCCGTTTCCTGCACCATTTTTCCATCGGCCTTTGTACTTGTGTAACTTATAGTGATTACTTGCTTTAGCAGTTTACCTGGAAATTGTGGCTCATTTCTCAATTTCTCAGTTTCTTGTGACCGAATGGTCTCAGCCGCTGTATCAATAGTCGAAGAGTGAAGTATAACTGTAAATTACTACCTATATCTAATATACCTCGAATGTAGCCGTGATTTTGTTTTCATCAATTTTGCTTTCGTGTTGCTCTGGAGAAGTAGTACATGCTCAGCACGAATTTCGAAAATGTATGCAATCTGAAAAGAAGAAAGAAAGTCATGTCTTGGTAGATGTATTCACACGTAGACGACAGACGCCAAGTTATGTGTGCTCGTGCCTCACACTTTAGTGTTAGCCCATCCAACTATATTAGCAGTAAACAACGGACAATGTATGTTAACCGATGAACCCGAATGCAAACAATGAATGATTTGATACTTGTTTACGATGTTTCAAAATTATGGGAAATAGTAAAAGCTCCAAAAGTGCTGCATAACTGTTTTTTATTCAATGTTATAATGAAAATATCTACACTCGAATAGCCACAGTAACTCATTTAGAGTAATATCAAATGCAAATGTCACTTGTCATATGATATATTTGATTAAAATTGCAAACAAATATTAATGATCACAAACATCGTAGAATACTTACAAATTTTGCAATATATTTCAAGCAATAAATTTTTTTTGAAATGAAGTTAGACTATAAGAAAAAGATTTCTTCTGATATCTTGTGTTAATTGAAACTAGGAATAGAGAGTTGTGATGATTTTTATACAAAAAATCTGAATATTATCAGGTGGAACATTTGTGTTAGAAAATTGTTCTCAAAGATCTATAGTCAAAAGTTCTAACGCTGAAAAAATGGAAATGTTAACAATAGATTTTGTTGATGAAAAATTTCATCATGTGACACAATGAAAATATTCAAATCACAAAGGAATCAAAATCATGAACAACAAGAAGCGTGAAAACAATCTATAGCGGATAAATATCTAGACAATGCACCAAAAGATTGAAATCAAACATTATCATCTAGCACAAGATCATCAAATCTGATACATAAAACTCTAAAGAATAATAAAACATATATTGCAACATGCATTTTTTAGCATCATAAAATTGAAATTATTGATGTGTTATAGCAATGCATTGACTTTGAAAGAAAATATATTCTATTAATATTAAGAAGTTCATGTATCTTTCACTAAGACATATGTGAGAACCAATAGACCCTAATGTGTTTGCAGATGTTATCACTAGCATGCGTAATCAAGATATTTTCTTTCGGCAGGTAGATAGATAGGTTTAATAGATAATATTGTTATAAAAATATTCAAATAAAGAAGTTGATAGATAAAAAAGTTTTGAAATTTTAATAAAATTTCTAAATAATGGATATAAAAATATAATCCAAATTTTAAAAATTAAATTTTCAGAGTCATTTTGATGAAAAAATTTCTACAAGAAAAATATTTAGAATTAAAAAATGTTAATGATTAATAATAAAGATTATGTAATTCAAAAATTTTATTTTTTACTGCAATATTTGATTTAATTATGTATCAAATAAAATTTTTGACAACATGTATGTATGATTGTATTAATTTTAAATTTTTTGACAGAAACCAAAATAAATTTATAATTGAATATCAAAATAGTAAGATTTTAAGCGAATTCAATTCTTTGATTATAAAATTACAAAACTTTATACAAGAAAAAATCTCAAAGAATTAAATCTATTCATGTATACAAGAAAAAAATAAATAACGGAATTTTCAACCTCATTATGACTTTGTGAATCACTTATTCATTTTATTACATAGGATACTGAACGTGATTAAATAGAAGATTCAATAATTGAAATATGTCATATATGAAGGATTTGAGAAAGATCCTAACTATATTGGTTGTAAAAGTTCACAAAGATATGAAGGAAAAAATGATCAATAAAGATAAGCATTTTTTATTCATGTTAAAACTTTTAACATGACATATTTTTGAAATAATTTTTTAAGCCTTTAAAACAGATTAAAAGCTCAATGGTATGTTGAATTGATACAATTGACCATATTAAAAAAAAATTCTTATTCTTAATTTTTCATGACAAGACATTAAACAATCTCTTATATTTCAAACTATGAACTATTTCAAATTTAACATTGCTCTCGTCATGAGCAAGATTTTAAATAAAATGTCAATAAAAAAAGTTAGATTGAAAAGATTTGAATTGCAATCTATAATGATTCAGGAGTTCCTAGTACTATAATACTTATTTGATGATTTATTATACATTACAAAAAAATTCTAGATAATGTAGATTATGAACTGATGTAGTATAGAGTAAAAAATTCAAGTACACAATCTAGTATCATATATTACGCATCACATAGCGAAACACATATCATAAAATATCAAAGATGAATTCTTTGAATACAAGATTGAACTAAGTTTAGATAAAATTTAAACTAGATTATGTATTCATACAACTTGAAACGTAAAAAAACATTGTATTCTCATACAGGTTTTGTATAAAGAATGTAAAAGATATGTATCAAGAATTATGTAACTTTTATTTAGGATTTTATTCTATAATATCTATTCTAAATTTTTCTTTTATGAACATAATTATGTGATTAACATAAAATAGTTTGAAAAGATCAACTGATATTTTATAAGTGTGCTAAGAGAATTTCTAAGTGACATAACTATGATCTTTATTAAAATATTCCTGTGTGCGTAACTTCATTTCTCAAAACCTTATTTTTTATGTCTCTAAGAATTTTAGGCCCAGAATTGCTCAAAGAGGGATATCGCTTTGTAGATGTCGATTTAGCTTCAAGCTATACGACGACACTCCTAGGTCAAAATGCTTATCATTGTGTCTTGAAACAACAAATTCATTATTTCATGTCATTATTTAATACAAAATTGAACATGTCATTCGATTATTTTTAGTCTTTGAATTGTGCAAGATCTCTACCATTGCGTTCCATACAACATTGTAAATCTTTATTATATACACTGCTTGAAGTTACATATAGCTTACTTGACATAAACCTTAAAGATGACACATCATATGTCCTAACCATATTGATATCTGGTGTGAGTTTTAAAACTCAAGTTAAGTTGTATACGATAAAGTTGTATCGGAGTGTCTCAATCTGATTTTAATTATCAACACAACTTTCTCTGTAGAGTGGTACGAATAGAGATGGTTAAACAAAAGAAAATTGAATTCTTCACTTAATATGTAAGAGGCACAAAACTAGTTAATTCTCTTCGAGCTATTGTTTGATGTTTTCTCGCTGCGAGCTAGCTGACATTACAGGGTATAATTTCCATCGTGATTACCTCGAATAATTTCACAACCCATAAATGCGCAGACTTGTCGGAGTATTGCCATCCAGTCGTCCAGTGCACAATAGAACATAATCGCCGCATATAGCTAAGCTCATAGATTCGATAGTTTACAATACACTCGTTGCGAGACAATGGCTGCGAGCAGTCAACTCGACCATCGCCCACAAAGGATGAAGTAGGCAAGCGGAGGAGCGATCATAGACCCACAGGCCCACAGAAGTCATTATCGGATGAGTCCCACGCGACCACTCGAAGCGACAAAGGAGCCAGTGGAGGCTCTCGTGTAATCGAGTCAGTGTCCTCGGAACGGTTGGATACGGTTCGGGGTGCTGCACTCGACTTTTCGCCATACAGTGGTACAGGGCCCGAGCCTGCGCTGCCCGTGAATGGCCAGACATGGACACATGTTCTTGCCAGAACCTTTTCGTCGTCTCAGTTGAAATCGCGTCATTAATTGAAGCTGCTACTGCTGCTGTTGTTACTTATTACGATGGTTACAACACGGTGCCGACGACATAAGATCCGGTCTGGTCTGCGATCTGCCCTGCCCTCCCCTGGGTGCTAGGCGATCATGGCTTTGTCCCTCCTCTCAATCGTGTCAAGTGTCCGTTCGGACATACTCATCTTCCATTGGCACGAGACGAAACTCTTCCTCTCTCCATTCGTTCAATACAGAGCTGTCCTCAGGAATGTATGAAATGAAAAGAACGAGACATTTTCCACACGGGCTACATCGACACGATTGAATGAATTTAATTAACGACTCTCAACAACAGAGAAATGGAATGACCTCAAAATACCAACCACCTTGTACTGGACTTTCATAGTGCACTTCAAATTACTGGTACTTTGGAAATGCGCTTTCGGGCACGACAGTGGAAAACTGGAATGACTGAACTAAATTTGGTACAATATTTATGTCCCTCCTGCCCCGTGTGGCAATCGACCTCAAAGCAAAGCATGCACGGAAATGGAATGAGTGCAACTGAGGCATGGGATCGAAAGTTGCTCTCATAAGACAAGGGAATAGTATCGGTTTCAGAATCTACTAAAGTCCATCAGGAGCAGCAGCATGTTAAGCTTTACAGTGAGCGAACGAATTGGGAGTTAAGCGCTTGCAGAATTGTTCTGATCTAGACGCTAGAATATCTATCCTACATTGAGAGAAAAACAGCTAAAACTTTCATGACCGGTTTAGATTAGATGATTGCAGTTTGTTCCAGTGGCAGCTTCAGGCTTCAGCTCCTGACAAGCTAGTGAAGCCACATCGATCGCAGGATCCGGTCACGTTACTAGCTCACCACTATACCCACACCGTTGTACAAAATTATGGACAATTCCGATTTGTGCTGCTTCTATTGTTGGTTGCAAATTCCTAACAGCAATTCAGTATCGTCACCCAATGTCGATCAAAACCAGCAGCATGATGCTGCTGCTGGCTCGCTGGCCTAGCCTGCTTGCCTAGCCTAGCCTAGCCGACGAGACGAACATCCATCGCCCCATTCCATGCCAAAGAACGAGATTGAACACACAATTTCACAGACCGATCGCACTCGAAGTCACTTGCCACGCAGACCTGCATGCTCGATTGCCTGCACAGCACCATTTACATCAGCATCCGTTCATTTCTCGGGCGATTTGCTTCTCGAGCTCCGTCTTTCGCTTCTCAGGAAGAAGATTGTCTCCAGACTTTGCTTGAATGGCCGTGCCAAATTCCACTCCAATTCGCCTTTCAGGAGCTCCGCTTCTCCGCTTGGAGTTCCTCACCTTTGCCCGTGTCCGCTGCTCTGAGCGGCTCGTCATCGGAGCTGGACCAGCCCTCATCGTGAGAGAGGGGGCCGTTCTTCATGCTCGCAGGGGGGACAGCTTCGTTGGAAGAGGACGATGGCTTCTCGTCGCCGGCCAGTAGAGACATCATATCCTCCAGCGGAACATTTAGCTTCTCCGACAGTGTCACGACCACGGAAGCCGTTCTGTGATGCTCTCCGCCGCCGCCTCCTCCTCCTCCTCTTCGTTCTCTGATCACGGCTGCTGCGGCGTCTGACGAGCTCCCGGACTTGCCCTCCGAGTGGCTCGATGAAGAAGACGTCGAGGCTGGTTCCTGCGCAGCTCCACGGGCTTGATCACTCGTGTCAGAAGTGGAACTCTTGTCACCGGCGCCGACGCCAGCCACTTCTCCCACTTCCTCCGGCGCAAGAATGCCGGTCTCGCTCGGCACCGCTGGACTCTGCTCCTTGGCAGCACCAGCACCAGAAGCGTCGAGAGCAGGAGCAGCGTCCGAGGGCCTGGAATCGTGCGCATCGTCGACGATCACTTGGCTGGGCTCGGGCAGCGGGAATCCACGAGAGCGCTGCACCTCCTCGGCCTCGGACGAAATCTCGCCATCGCGAGCGGGGCGATCGTCGACGGCGGGCTCGGCATCGGACGAATGGACGACGGGCGCGGCGGAGGCGGAGGCGGGGGGCGCAGGCGCAGGCGGGGTGGGCAGCGGCTGCGGGATGGGGCGCGCGAAGCGCACCTCGCGGGCGGGCGCCGCCGAGAGCAGCGCCTCAACGGGCTTGCGGCTCTCCTGGTGCAGGACGCTGTCGACCCAGGCGCGCCCGGTCTCCTCCCACGTTTTGAGCTTGTCGAGCCAGCCGTCGTCGGGCGCCGCGCCAACGGGCAGGGGCTTGCGCCGCTTGGACAGGCGCCGCTCCTCCTCGAGCAGCAGCGGCCCGTCCTCGTCGTCCACCATCACTTGGTCCGTCTCCTCGTGCTCGTGCCAGTCGCGCTTGTACTGCGAGTGCGAGTGCGCGTGCCCGAAGCCCGCTCCGGCGCTGGCCCCGCCGTCGTCGCCATCCGAGCCCATGCTGATCATCGCCAGCACCACCAGCGCCGTGGAGATGAGCAGCGGCGAGAAGAACACCACGATCGGAAACAGCGGCGGTGTGAACAGCAGCGCCACCACGACCGACGCGATGGGGTGGCTCCAGATGAGCCCCACCACGTCTCCGGCTCCGAAGCCCATTCTGCTTCTCCTTCTCCTCCTCCGATTGCACGCGGATACTGCTGGCGATGTCCGAACGCCGAGGTCTATCTCCCTGCTCGCCACTGGATGCACCGAGTTTTCATGGACCTCCGGCCGCTTATGGCTCGTCGAAAGGACCTCGCGCTGTGCTGAGCTTGACGGGCTTCAGAACCTGACTTTAATCGAGCAATGCTGAATGGAGAGAATGGTCTCGCTGGGGCGGAAGCGGAGGATAGGGGAGGACAGGGAAGAGAGGGAAGAGCTCGATCGCTCGATCGATCGGTCGGTCGGTCAGTCGAAATTGGAACACGAGAGTGTCTCGTCACAGAAGGACGGACGAAACAAACGCTGGATGTGCGGGTGCAAAGCGAAGGAGCAATGGTGCATCATAGTCCGGAGGGAGAAGGAGCCGGACGAAAAGCCAGCTTCGCAGAGGCCAACCGACCACGCAAACGCTTTCTCTCGCTTTCTCTCGATCGCTGTCTGTCTGCTCGCTCGCTCGAGAGCGACTGCTGCGGTTCCGGTCACGAGCGTTGCAGAAGGCCAGAGGCAGGGAGCAAGTAGAAGAGGTGGGAGGGCACAAGACGATAGAAGGGGATGAACCAACTATGGATGGGACTCCGAGTGGTCCCGGGGAGGCCCAAAAGCGCAGCGCCGGGAAGGAAGGAGGAGGCGAGAGCGACGACGACACAACGGAGGAGGTCTAGACTGATCCACTCCGGGTGCAGTCAAGAGTCGAGTCAAGCAGTCGAGTGAGTGACCGGCGGCGAGGTTGGTTTGTCACACCATTTGCAGTGGACTCACAATGAGGAGGACATGGATACGGCACACAACATGGCGGCCATGAATGAACGATTTGGCCTGGCAGGTCAGGACTCAGGGCACGCACGGCACGCACGGCAACAGATGATAGATAGATAGACATGAACATGAACCCTCTCCTCGACTCACGAACCACCTCCATGCCACTCACTACACCACCCTCCACCCTCCACACTCAAACGAAGCGGGGCCGGAGCTGAGCTGATTCGCGCAGATCCCATCACTCACCACCACTTCGCTCATTAACTCACTCTCTCCCTCCCTCCCTCGGCTCAATACGTACCCCCACTCCCGTGTTACTCCTATACGATCGAGACCCCTCCCGACGACGGACGGATGTCCAGACACCGCCGTAGGACGGGGTCGTCCGGACCAGCAGCCCGGGTTTCGTTCGAGAGAGGGAGGGAGAGATACGTATGGATGGGGACCACCGATGGCGCACCCCTACAGCAGCCACAGCAGCATAAGAACAAGACGCAGTGGGCCAGGGCCAGAGTTCACCCGCTAGTCCCGTCCCTGGTGGGGTCGGCCATGCACACGGAAAGTATGTACGTACTTAGCCCTCACCACAGATTCGCTCGCCACTGCTTTTAAACATACAAGCGTAGACTGTATGCAGGCAGGGAGTGCATGGGCATGGACATAGGATGGGATGTGATCTATTCTCGCAGATGCATGGTGGGCACATCATTTTTTCTAGTTGAAATTCGAGGGTTTAGGCTGTAGCTCCGGGGTTATTAATGTTGGTGGATTGGTTCGGTGAGCAGATAATACAACCAACAGAAACTATGGATAGTTGACCTCTACTCTACAGGGAGCCATGAAAGCATATTGGCACTGGTATATTTAAGAAACTCTTGACAGTGGTGATCGATTTTCCTTAAAATACACAAAGGCCAAGATGCCCAATGAATAGGACAGATCGAGGGGTCGAGGTTTCGGACACGACTTTTGAGTTATGGTTGGCTCTTCTTTTTCGGCTTCCTTTTGCACTTCCTTTTCGCGGTCCGTACCTGTCAAAGCGGTTCCCGATCCTTAATCCTTTCATGTTATTGACGTAACCTGGAGGTTAAGACTCGTTGACCTGAAGATTCCTTCAATTAGCAGCTAAACTTGTGTCTGCTCTGCGCTGCCCTGCCACTCATGTAGCTGTACAGCCTTCGACTAGACCTACTAATCATAGTATCGGTGAGACCATAGTTCGCTTGCGAGGGGCGAACGACATACGTACGCATTCTCATACAGATTACATTGGTGTTTGAAATCTCATGGAAGAGCAGTTGCCACCGTGACTCTGCACTCCGGTGGCTTAATCCAGAGCTAATGTTCCGATAAATGGGGGCTGGACATTGTACTCGAAGTATGCGAGCGAGCAGCTATGAGACGAGATCGAGGAACCTGTTAATCTAGTACTGTAATAAGTTGCGAGTTGGATTGTGAGTCGATTGGTATAGTGGTCTGCGGAACTGGATAGGTAGAAGTTCTTCTTCAGTAAATTTAGGCGGCTAAACTTAGCTTTCCATGTGGGCCAACTGAGTACAGCAGTACAGTACGAGAAGCCATCGCCATTGACCTTCTTCGCTCACTGGAGTGTAGAGGACTGTACCGCCCTTCCCATCCCTTCCCTTCCTTCTCCTGCTTGCTGTTCAAGATTTGAAAGGCTTCTTCGCGGTGGCATAGGATGTCTCGATTCACGAGCCTGTTAATACGAGTGACAAAGCAAGAGGTGATCATAAGTGATCTCTTTGTCCATCCCCTGACCAGCAGTCCAATCAGAGTCACCATTTCTGTAATACCATTCCGTTCCATCATCCATGTGGTTGCAACGTTCTGCACGCAAAGGGAACCTGTCCGTCTTTCGGTGGAGACAAATTTTCCTTCGTTTATGAGGTGATCTCCAGGATTCTTCCGAAAAGTTCTCCCAAAGGACGTTGCCTGATTGATTGACGGATAAGGGGGATTGCGATGCTTGATTGCGGAAAAGGTTGCAAAAGTAGTGCACCTGTCCCTCCCTTGTAGATTTGAGGCTACGTTAGATTCCTATGAGGGAAACGAGAGAATCTTCTGTTAAAAATGGACGGGTAACAAATACTCTCGCGGCGATAAAACATACTAATTAATCTTGAGGTGCAGGAGCATGAGCATGAGCACGAAGGTTTAGCACCAGTTTGTTAGGCGATAGAATGTGCTTATCCTTCAAGAAAGTGGAGGAGATGCTATCGTGGTTTTCCAGCACATAATACAGCCCACCCCACGCGTGCTTCTGAAAACCTACAGGCCAACTTTGAACAGGAGTGTCTTCTCATGTGGGCAGAGCATACCTATAACTTGGGGTCAAGAGAGAGGCACAAAGGTGTGAGTTTGTCCTACTGACATCTTGATCGTCGATGGGACCATTGTGAACAGACTATTGAGTTTTGATCATAGTGTCCCAATGGCCCAACATCGGAGTGGAAACTGACATAGCAAATCCTCCATCACCTTGGTTGGAAGGTACATGCCATGCCTAGTCTCCTCTTGAAGTGGCCGACGACAATTCACCTCACCTTGGCTGGCCGGGTAAGTACAGTAGGCACAGTTCGCCGGAGAAAGCGATGGAGTCCGACCATCGTCAATTCTGCGTGTACTGTACATGCTAGCAATGTCGTTGCGGGAGCAGGAGGAGAATTTCCCAATGATACCGTTCGTACTTGGAGTTCATGAAGGCCGAAATCAGAGAAAGTTTCCTCAATGCAAACTGTACTCAAATCGGTGTCTACCACGACCAACATCATCATCATGCTCATTGAAGCTTCAGGTCCAAGACACGAGGAATTAACAGTCACCACATCTTAGTGCTCGAGTCAGTCATTGGCTTACTTGTAACAGCCGCTAATCGAAAGATTAAACCTCAAGATTAAGTAACGTCAAGCTCTACGACGTATTCTCCATGTCTTGTCCTTTGGGCCATGTTACTCGGGAACATAACAGTCATAAACAGATGCTCAAACCTGAAGCGGAAGCTGGTTTTAGACAACACATTTGCACACACTTCTTCATGTGGAGTCGATTCACTTGAGCGAAATTTGGCATCTAGTCCAGGATCTCCTTGTTTGGAAATCATTGCAATGTGGGTGTAAATAGAAAGCTCATCACAAATGCCAGACAGTTCTATTTTTTGTAATGAGTTTAGCTCTCCATGATTTCTCTCTTGATATCATATTGTATATTCCTTAGTCGACTATAGTTTGTGATCGTTTTTCCATCAAATTTCTTTTTCATTATATCATACATTTTATTACTATCACACATGGCGAAACAAGACATATATAAGTGATTTTTTACCGTGTTTGGTGTGACAAGTCTTGAAAATCAACGTTTTAACACTTGTCAACATATCGTGAATGGTTTTACGCTCAATTAATTTTCACCTACATACTACATCTATTTGATTCAAGTCTATTTTTTTTATTTCAAAAAGTATGAATTTTTTAACGAAGTTTTATTATCGTAAGAAACTTTGTTATATCAAAAAAATACCATGCTCAAACAAATCATATCAAAACTTACCTCATTGTCACATACAAATATTCCAATATATATATTTGATCCACCAACACAAATGTGTAATGACTTCTATCAGTAAATTAAACATCTTTCAAATGAATGACAGATTTCAAATTTATGATCAATTGACTTCTTTATAGTTTTTGAATTAATTCAAATTAGACATTGACAATTTTATTTGATGACGTTTGTCACAAAAACAACAAAACAATCATGTGGTTTAACATTCTGAACCTAATAACAAAGTCTTACTTGAACTTTAAGTTTGTGTCACATAGATACAACCGTTTTCTTCATGGAAACATGAGTACAAGTTTTATTATTTATAATTTGTCTAACATTTTGTCCCTCCTACATTCACATGATAGTGAAAAACTCTAAGTCCGATTCTAAATAGTATAAGTCTAATGCTAACTCTAACTTGAGTTTAACTTAAAACTTGAATTATTACTAGCAATATACCCCTTAACTCTTGTAATGAATATAGTATCCTCTATAACAAATGAAAATACTTCAAAAAACTTCTAAAAGGAAATCTGACATAGTTTACTCTTTAAGTAGAGTTAAGTGGAACTAGACCATCTCCAAAACATGATAGAGGAAGAATATAATGTGGTAACAAAATTTGATAGTAAACTATACATAAGCTCCTCATGCAAAATTTTCATAATAGTACAATGTCTCCTAAAATTTCCAAAGTAATGTCATTATGTCTGAACTTCATTGTATTTCATTTGATTTGCAGCAAGATGTAACTCACTTTGACTATCACAATGAAGATTTAAAACCGCATGTTTCAATACCATCTTCATGATAAGCATATTTAACCGAAATAGTTTTCTTTGCTATTTTTGTTGCCACTACATATTCAGCTTCTTTTGTGGACTAAGTTACTCATGTTTGCAAAGTAGATCTCAAACTAATGCATTGATCATCAAATGTAAACACATACCCAGTTGTAGATTTTCTCTTGTTCATAGTCAGTAACAACATAGCCTAGCAAGAATATGACATTGTCAAAAAAATCATCAAACAATATATCATAATCTTCATAACTATTTAGGTAGTTGAAATTCATTTCATTGGTTCACAATTCGCCTCACTTGAATTTGACATATATTTGCTCATAGCTAGAGCAATATGAGGTTTTGTGCTCATCATCAAATAC